TAGGGGACATAACTCTCCATACAGCAAAATGTGGTGTATTTGACCAAGGGTTATCGAGAACTTGGTATTAAACCCAGTTTACCAGCAGATCCTGGCATCACAACCCATCAGATCATGGCCACAAAGGGCCACCCTGATTCCCAGGATGATCAACTAAAAGTTATTTTCACAGGGTTCCCTCCCACCAAAGCACACAAATTTGGTGCAGTCAGGAGGTATAGTAGTATATACTACTTGTATGAATGCTATACATCATACTATCTGTAAGGAATCAAATAGGTAGGACCCCTTTAAAATATGTTATCAATATTACTTTTCTCTGTAAATCAAGGCCTTCCCTGCCTTTGATAAATAGAAATTGGGCTGGCCCTGTTTTACAAATATACTATATGAGTGAGAGTGAGTCCGTTTAGTTTTACACTGCAATATTCCAGCAATATCACAGTGGGAGACCCCAGAAATGGGCTTCACACATTGTCCCCATGTGGGAAATCGAGCCCGGGCCTTGGCATGACGAGCAAACTTCTTAACCACTATGCTACCCGACTAACGCTTATATTACACGAAAAGCGATTTTATCATCGCTGTTCACACTTAATTGAAGGTGTATCCTGTGTTTGTTTCTCATTCATTAGCAAGTGTTCTTTTCTGGAAGACCACCACATCATTTAAATTGAAATTTAGTCCAAAATTGGTAATCACAAAAAGGACCAGCCTTTCTCTCAATAGATCTTCAAGTACGGTACTCTAGCGGCAAAGCACAATGTCTACACTGAAGCCTGGAATACTCACACCGTTGTACTCTGATGGCACTGAAATGACTGCTTTCTCACAACAGTTGACAACAGTAGAGGCATCAAAGCCTGATTTGCATTTCAGGACCCTCCACAGCATAAGCCTCCAGAAAGATTTAGACGTTTTGCTTATCAATGGTAGGCAGGTCTGTTCAAATTACAGCAAGAACCTCTCTGCTCATGAAAGTGTCAGAGTCAAGGAGACAACTTATGATGTGTAGATAAAGAGAAATTATGAGGGATTACCAATCTAAACACAGAAAATAGAAGCCTCTTAAAAAATGCCAAAATGAATCTCACGCATGCAGTTTCTGCACAAATAAATGCTCTCAAAAAACAAAACAAGGCACCTTTCACTTCAGTCTGTCTTTATAAGAAAATAACAAAATTCATCAAAATTCAAACCATCTTCGATAATACAGGGTTTTATATCTTCATTTTATTATAAGAACCCTGGCTTCATATACTTAATATACTGAATCAAACTTATTAACATCCTTCTTCAATGACTATTGCAATGGGGGCCTTTGGTTAGAATAAGTTCGAGCATCAAGGTTGTAGTTGACCAAATCAATTTGGTGGTAGAGCTCACAATATCGATCATTGGATTGTCTGAACCAGACTCAACAACGCAGACACTGCTGTCATATAGCTGGAAATATTTGTGAGTGTGGCATTAACCAAACATATGAGGTAAGTGTATGCTCAATAAAGTGACAAAACAAAATAGATACAAAGAAAAGATGTGCTTTTTTAATAGCCATCAATTACAAGGCAAAGTGAGTGAATGAGTTTAGTTTTACGCCACACTCAGCAATATTCCAGCTATATGGCAGCGGTCTGTAAATAATCAAGTCTGGAACAGACAATCCAGTGATCAACAGCATGAACATCGATCTGCGATATTGGGAACCAATGACATGTGTCAACCAAGTCAGCAAGCCTGACCACCCAATTCCATTAGTCACCTCTTACGACAAGCATAGTCGCCTTTTGTGGCAAGCATGGGTTGCTGAAGACCTATTCTACCCCGGATCTTCACGGGTCTACAAGACAAAGAATAGTCTTGCTCCAAGGCTGTACTGAATGCTAAGGCCATGGATGTAGAGTAATTATTTCCTTCAAAGAGGCACGTCTAGATCTGTTAGAGTGAGTGAATTAGTTTTATGCCGCTTTCAGCAATATTCCAGCAATATCAAGGCGGGGGGACACCAGAAATGGGCTTCACACATTGTCCCCATGTGGGCAATCAAACCCGGGTCTTTGGCATGACGAGTGAACACTTTAACCACTAGGCTACCCCACTGCCCCTAGATCTGTTAGAGGGACAAAGGGTTCTTTTTATGTACATGTTTTACAAATTATCATTTAAACTATTAATTATTAACTTAGAGACTTTAGCTAGTCTAGACAAAGAGTTACCATCCTTATGCTGATCTGATAACTGATTTTCTTGATTAGACTGAAGTTTGTTAAAATAATGAAAATGGAAGCAATATGATGAAACCTTTATGAACATCCTGCACAGCATATTTATACACCAAGTGATGAAATAAGGACTAACTACAATGCCAGCATGGCGCTGTGTGCTGATATTGGTATTCTTAGGACTAATTGAAGGTGGCTGTCTCCAGCCGACGCCGGCAGTGTTGGAAGGCGTCAGTATGACACATGACTAACACAACCACAAGAAAAGGTCACAGTTCTGTGTATCTGAGCAGTCTGAGCAGTCGGAACAACCCAAACTGCTCCAAATACACCACATATATTCACAATGCAGTATCTTAAATCAACATTCTAGCACGACATTGTGTGATACTCGATTCTGATTGGCTGAGAGCTCATCAAAACCGTACTTAAATGGCAGTTTAAGACCGCTAATTAAAGTGACCGATTCACCGCATATGAATACAACTAACTCGTTGACCCTATTGTTTGTAAACAAACATGTCGGACATCGGCAATTTCTATCTCGGCAGCATCTTTGGTGTGTTTGAAGTAAAAAGCGAATGGTTTGAAGAAGAATTTCTTGACCCTAATCCCAGTGAAGAAACTATGAAGCTGGAAAATCTGTCAGCAGCGCAAAAGCGGCAGTATATTCAAACCGGGTCCAGATCTACGTGTGTTGACGTCGACAACACACGTCGGCCCACACATCCTAACCTGACCGCTTCCGTCCCGGCCGTAATGCCCTTCAACTTCCACTGTCCATGTATCCCACATAAAACATGGCATGTCAGGTCTTTTCCAAATTGAGAGTAGTAGGGTGGTTATCAACAATTATTTCCATGAATAAAGTTAGCGGTGACCAAACCTAGTGAGTTCACGGCTTGAATTTTGGCGAGTCAATTGTCATACAGTAGGGGAGATCAACAATTCACTTGAGAAAAATCAAATAATTGTAATTGCTCACAGTATAAACTGTATTTTTTATTTATGTATGCTACTTGTTACAAATACAAGCATACTGGTTCCTGAAATAAAGCATTTATGTTGTTGAAAATGTCTTATTTTGTTCATTACACAACCTGTCCCTCAACGGGACGATTCCATGCGATTTCCAGGAAAAGGCCTCTTCGCGCCTTGTGTTCTTGCGCGCCAAACAGTTCGGTTTTAAAACGCTTATCAGTCATGCTAGAATAAAGGACCCCAAAATTGAAAACAGAGTAGCTTTATCTTCTAAATACTTGAGTGTAGTCCATCCCAATACTGACAACTGGTTAAAAGGAGGAACCATTCTGTGAACAATTACTGTCACATAAATCTGGATACACAAATAGCTCAAGTAAGGATTCCATCTAACGCATCATACAGAGTCACATTTTGTGTTACTGACTGACTGAGTTTAGTTTGACGCCGCTTTTAGCAATATTCCAGCAATATCCCGGCGGGTGACACCAGAAATGGGCTTAACACATTGTGCCCATGTGGGGAATCGAACCCAGGTCTTCATGCTTTAACCACTAGGCTACCCCACCACCCCCACATTTTGAGTTATCCTGACACACCTGTACTGCATCTACATCATGAAAGTGGCCCTTGATTTTGTAACCAAGCAACTGATCTAGGTTTATTTTTCATAAAACTTCCAACAATCGGTTGGTTGGTTGGTGTTTAACGCCACACTCAGCAATATTCCAGCTATATGGCATCAGGTCTGTAAATAATCAAGTCTGGACCAGACAGTCCAGTGATCAACAGTATGAGCATCGATCTACGCAATTGGGATACGATGACATGTGTCAACCAAGTCAGCGAGCCTGACCACCCGATCCTGTTAGTTGCCTCTTACAACAAGCATGGGTTACTGAAGATCAATTCTAACATGGATCTTCACAGGTCTCCAAATATCGGGCCACAGCTACTGCATGTACTTATGGACTGCTCTTCCCTGATTCTCTTAAAATAATATTGTTAGTTGTGAATGGAATATTGTGCAAAATACCATTATTTCGTAATTTTCTATAGATGATTCTGTGTTACTGATTAACCAAGCAGTCTGTTAAATTATTGTTGATATATCTATTTATAAGAATGACTTTAATATGATTTAGATTATTCTGTTATTGATTAACCAAGCAGTCTGTTAAATTATTGTTGATATATATATTTATACGAATGACTATAATATGATTCAGATTATTCTGTGTTATTGATTAAAGTAGCTGTCTGTTAAAAGATTGACTTCAAAATTGTATTGCACATCTAATCAATGTGCACATGTTTTTTTACATTTATACTTCCATAAATGAAAAAACATATTTAAAAACGTCCTTAACTAAAAGGGAAAAGGTAGATATGATAAACAGAAAACCCCATTTGTGTTTTAAATTATTGGATATATCAACCATATATTCAACTGTACTTGTTGGCATAAAGCTCAACAATCTACAGATCAGCATCAGCATCTGATAAAGTAACACTTTTTTGTTCAATTTAAAAAAAAAATGAATGGTGAATTGTAATTATCCAAAGAAACATGGTAAATAAAATTTTATAAACAAAATAAATTGGTTAGTCAATTATGAACTTGAATTGCAAAACACTGCAAACAAGCATTAAACATCAGCAGCACTTCAGAGTACATTGGCTAGAAAATGGTCAGTAAGCAGTCAGTGGCCAGTCAAAGATACTGGTCATAACACTGTAAAACTGTTATTCGCACAGCAATTTCAACAAAGCTCAATCAACTCAACAAATTGTTACCTGTAGACAGATGTTCCATGTCCAAATATTCACCTGTGTAATCAACAAACAGGTAATTTGAAGGTGAGATAACTACAGGTAAAATCTAAAAAATGACTTTACCTCAATCTAAATTCTCTATGAACCATTCTCTGTGAACACAGTAACATGACACACATACTTGCACAATTTAACATAAAACATCATGAATAAATGAGTGAGTACTGAATGTAAAAACCAAAATATTTTCAACTACTGTAAATCATGAAACTAAAGGTCACGAATTTAATGCGAGTGCGAGGGTCTAGTCTAAAATGCGTCATGAAATTAACGCCAGTTTAGGAATCTGTGTTGATGATAAAATTAATTTAGCTTGTTAAGCAATGAATGGACATGAGCTGACGATGTTTTGATTACGCTGCCATGTTTGATCACGTGATTGCTTGCTACTACTTGTCTTATGACAACATGTAAACGTAATCCGACTTGAAAGACACAAGTCATCTACCAAGGTACAACAAACAAGCTGATGTGCTTGAGTGACTTTAAACAATGACCAGTGATTGTAACAAGTGATAATTACATGTGGTTTGAGATACCTGGAATGAGGAAGTGACCTGTATTGGTGTAATGTGTAGTGTCAACAGATTTACTTTTTCTGTCTCTTATTAAGTAGACATGACTGAAATGCGTCTTTATAATAATGCGAGAAGAGTACAGACGCATTTTTCGCATTAATAAAATGCTCGCAATAATTTGATTTACAGTATGCACATAATTCAATACTTGTTTACAGGATCATTGGCATGACGGACAAGCTTATCACAACTCAGAAGTAAGATGACTGATATTAAGCAATTTCATTAAGATCAGATATTTATTACTTAGATTTGATTCCTCTCGCCATCAAGATCTGAATGAGTCGATGAGTGAGTGAGTACGGTTTGACAGCACTTTTAGCCATATTTTAGCAATGTCACAGTAGGGGACATATAAAATAGGCAAGTTCTGGCAAACACCTTATAGGCGTCATGTCCTATGAGTCCAGAAAGGATCTTGACTGCATTATCATTTCAAAGCTGAAGGATATAGATTGTCTTAAGCCAATCAGATGTGAGCTTTTTAAGAACATTCAGTTTGGCTTCATATCTTCATCAGACTGATTTGGAAATTTAAGTCTTCAGAAAAAGGAAGTGAAGCAAACCCTAAATACACCCTAAATACACTAAATACACCTTAAATACACCCTAAATACACCTTAAATACACCTTAAATACACCCTAAATGGTTTATCCTCTGGGAGTAGATGTCATGGCACTAAGGAATGAATGAGTGAGTTTAGTTTTACGCCGCACTCAGCAATATTCCTGCTATATGGTGGCGGTCTGTAAACAATCCAGTGATCAACAGCATGAGCATCGATCTGCGCAATTGGGAATCGATGACATGTGTCAACCAAGCCAGCGAGCCTGACCACACTCAGGAATGACAGGTTGTATAAAATATTCACAACACATAAATCACAACATTTATCATTTTCCATTCAGAACTGCCTGATTATGCTCATTTTATCAAGACAAAAATCAATAGCTCCGAATACCAATGGCTGTCAAGATATGCTAGACATGTGCTGTGACTTCTTTTGTGGGATAGTCAGATGTTCATGACGAGAGGTTTTAAACCAAAATAGAAGTCTTGATTTCAATGAGATTACACAAAACTAAACTATGCATCCAGACAACCATACAACTACCAAACTACTGACAATGTTAATTCAGGCTTTCAACTACAATAGTCTACCTCACAACCAGGTGCTCACTAACTCAGGTAAGATAACAGCTCGGCTACAAACAGGTGAGTCTAGACAGGTGAGTCTAGTTTGAGAAAAATCTTGTTTGGGGATTTTTTTCAAATCTAGGAATTTATCATTCTTGTAGAAATTACATATGTTTGCATATTTTTCATGAGAACCAATGAGAAAAGTAAGTTTCTGAACATATTTAATGATGTCACAAGTCATAAGAATGGATAAATATGTATTCCTTACTCAATCTAATCTCATTTTCTGTAATGTTTTAAATCGATAAGATGAAGTCAGCCAAAGTTCATATTTTGCTCTTGTTTATGCTGGATCTTTTGGCTTGATAACATGAGTTGTCTCCCTTGAATCTTCAGCTTTGATTTAAATGAGTGAGTACAATAATGACAAATTTATGGAAAACAAACTTTATTTTGTGAGTGCATTATTTCGATACAGATTTGTGTACCATTGTCAAGCAGGCATTTGTCATTGTAACACTGTTCAAATGAACAACCGTCACTGTGCTAACAAACTTTACACCAGCCATTAGCAGCAATGGATCCAACAATGGCAGCCCTAGAACCATGTTTGGAATTAATCTTGGCGTTCAATGTTGTTACCATGTCGATCAATACACTACACGATCGACATCAAACAGGCTAATAGTAAATAGTGACCACAGCCAATGTCATAATAACAGTAGTAATATCATGAACACTTAAAATATCTTAATAGTAGTGACAATGGAAATCATTTCTGTATTTAAAATGTCATTTCACAAGGAAAATACTCCTCATCCTTCTCAAACTCCATAAATTTACACTTATCATTTTCATCACAAACACATGATTATCTTGTGATTGATTTGTTTTCATAAAAACATCCTCAACACTAAACTTAACATTCATATTTTGAAAAATAACAGACAGAGCCTAGTCTGTAAATAGCATATCCGGAGTTCTGTCCCTTGTCCTTGATATACAGAATTTGCTAAACTCAACTCCATTACCATGCAAGTAAATGTACCCACTGAAATTACTGATTGGTTAGCTATAAAAGTGCAATTCAAAGGGTGCCAAATGGCACCAGACAGATAATTTAGCTGTGCCTTTGTGAAAATATGTGCCCATACCTATTGATGGTCAGAATAGTTCAGCTTCATTTGTCCTACACCCATAATCTAACCCACAAACTATGGTACCATCCACAACAGGATTTCCTGTTATGACTGACTGACTGACTGAGTTTAGTTTTACGCCCGCTTTTAGCAATATTCCAGCAATATCACGGCGGGGGACACCAGAAATGGGCTTAACACATTGTGCCCATGTGGGGAATCGAACCCGGGTCTTCGGCGTGACGAGCCAACGCTTTAACCACTAGGCTACCCCACCGCCCTCCTGTTATGAGCACTGGCATTCAAAATGGTCACGCCCATGTAAAACTGTGAAATTAATGCCACAGATAAAACGTTTGACAGAGTGCAAAAACAGATTTGGAATCATTTGAGTTGGTCAAATTTATTGCATTTACCATTACATGAATCATGGTAGCATCTTCATAATTTTAGTCGTGCCACCAGGGCACATTGAAAACTTTGCGTCTATGCCATTTCAATATTTAAAGTGCCATGGCGTGCAAATTAAGCACTATTTTGATCTCTGTAAGTACATATGATGCGACATTTCTTTCCCTAGGTGTATTTCTCACGTCCAACTCCTGACTTTGTCAGAAAAAAAAAATCTGCAATTAAACAAAGACTAATGTTTAGATCTAATAAACGTCATGAAATGACTGAAAAGTGGTAGCTTACCTTGTGACCGATCAACTCCATCAGTGGCGATGCCTTGGTCGTCTCTGCCATCCATGGCGATGTCAAGCATTTCCTCGTCTTCACTGCTGTGGTGCGGTGAGGGGCGACGACGACCAACAGCGCCGTTGGAGTTGCCGCCGCCGCTCACGGTACTAACACCACTATATGTCACAGCATTAGGATCCATATACTCTACAAGTAAAGAGTCTGTCTCCATACTAGATAGCACACACTGGCATCAACTAACAGGGCATCAGGAACAACACTGAAAATAAAATAAAACAGAATTAACACAATAAATACAAAAATGGTAAGAAACATTTTTCACATAAAAATTAATAATATCAAATCATGAAGACATAGCCATGATAACAATACTTTTGTCATAATAAATGGTAGGATTTTTATAAATTATGAAGCAAAGAGTTTTAGTTTGGTGAGGTTTTCATCTTTTCCTCCTTGAAATGTCTGAGGAAACTGGAGGATACCTTTGTCGTGTTTTGACCAGACTATTTCTAAACAGTTTACAAACCTCTTGGCTCCAATACATTAAAACATGAAAAATATATATAAATGTTTTGTTTTCATTCCACCAACCAGATTGGTAAATGTTTTACCAAATACATTACCACTACCAACATATTATTTAAAGCACCTTTTGTGACAAATGGTGATAGATCATTGTTTTAAAGGAAGGGAGGTAACTCTACACTTGCCATGTCAACACACTACCATAGTCAATCTTACACTTCACATATTCAAGAATTAAAAAATTTAAGTTTGAAATTTAATCACCATTGATAAAGGAAGAAAAAACTTTGTGGTCTTCTACCACCCCTTTCAATTCAAAGTATGAAAACACTTCCCTCACTGATGTGAATTAAATTAAATTGGGCCTCCATTATCAACATGTTTAACATGGTAATATTTCTTTATCTGTCATGAAAGCATATCAAGATTTCTTGGACATTTACCAACCAGCATGTCACAACACAGTACTTGAGGGTGCACCACAACAGATCTCTTCAACAGTTTACATGTAACATGACAACAGTAGAACAAAAGATAATTCACAAAGCGGTTAGATAGTGACAATTAAGGGGTATCACTTCATGCAATCCGTGGTGCTAGGTCCTGGTGATAGCATGCTGGAAACTTCTGGCTAAGAAACTGTCTGACAATCTGTGCACAGCATGATGGTGCATACAGACAGGTACAAATCTGAGTACACTGAGTTGTTGAAACTTAGCGACCAGTTAACAAGATATGTCAGTAAATTGTGTACCCCATCTTAACAAGGGTAACAGTGGCATCTGATTTCTCACGACATTGTGAAATCTTTTCTGGTTTCTTTTGACAAACGTATAGACTATTCCACTGTAATAGGGATTTTTAATATCTTTTCATGATATACTAAACTGATTCTTTTAAAATGTTCAACATATCAAAAGTATATCTAGGGGCGGTGGGGTAGCCTAGTGGTTAAAGTGTCCGCTCGTCCTGCCGAAGACCTGGGTTCGATTCCACACATGGGTACAATGCGTGAAGGCCATTTCTGTTGTCCCCTGCCGTGATATTGCTGGAATATTGCTAAAAGCGGCATAAAAATATACTCACTCACTCACTCACTCAAAAGTATACCTAACTATGATGACATATCTGGTGGCGCGTGAAGATCCGCCTAGAACTGGTATTGCTGTAAGAGGCAGCCAAAGGGATCGGTTGGTCAGGTCAACTTACAGTTGACACCTGATCAAATCTCAGTTGCTAGATAGACACTTATGATATTAGTCACAGATTTGTTTGGTTATTTACTAACTACCATTTTATGGCTGGAATATTGCAGATTGCAACATTAATCATCAAACAATCAAACAAAAAAAACATACATGTATCTGGCTATCCAAAAACATCTGAGTATCATATAAACATGATAAAACCGGCTACAAAACACAAACTTTCTTCAACACCAATATTACCTGTTGTAAACATAACGTTTCTGCTTCAAGACAAAGCAGAACATATCTGACAACCAGCATTATTTAAACACCAGTCAAACAATCGAGAAAATCCAGCTCAGATTTCTATTTCAGCAACTTCCTGTGGAGCTATTGTTTTTATTCCCCAGCCAACCGGTCTATAAGTGCATGTGTAATGAATATACATGCGAGATGCACAACTAAGGCAATGGTGGAGGGTTTCACACATGCTGTAACAATATTAACACATGTCCCACGTGACACACAAACTTGGGATACAGAGAACTGACTTTCTGGGAGAAGCTGAACAAGAAATATATGCAGCTATCATTAGTGTTCGACATTAGGAATACATAGCAACCAAGAGTCTATTTTCACAAACTGATATGACATCTTCAGCTGTGTTTGAAGTGGAACTTATTTTAAGGTACATACAAGATAAACAGGTTCCTTCAAACTAACTCACTTTGTAATTAATTTAATCCATATCCCAAAACTAAGAAGACAAGACTCATGTACTATGAAATCTTGTTAACCCAGATGGTATTTATAATATAAGACGAGTATATGGATGGCAACTTCTTTTTTATTGTATAACACGAAGTTATTCCGCTACTTCTTGCCCCTTCTTCAGGTGATTAAAGACAGATGTAGAAAACAAACTACATATACCAGATTTACAGGAAGCCAGACATGTACAACAATGACAGTTGGGATAAGGTAAAGCTAGTTGACACAACAATCAGTTGTTGCCATCCGTATACTCGTCTTATATAATTACCAACTTCTAAATGCCTCTCAAGAATCTCACCAGAACGTATTGCCAGTATTTGACCTTGCATGGGCGGATCCAGGAATTTGGAAAGGAGGGGGTTCAGGGGGTTCGAACCCCCTGAACTCTCCATTGGCTCCGCTAACGCAAAAAAAAATCTTCAATGTGATCTTAAGTCATTTTCAACAGTGGGGGGTTCAAACCCCACCTCTGGATCCACCACTGCCTTGCCCTACAAAACAAGGAATTCAGAGGATCCTGATTTCTAATTTCAAGATCCTTACATGAAACATGAAGGTCCTGTAAAGTAACCATGGTAACAGTGTACAATACTGTACAATAAGATGGAGAATTACATTTATAACAGGAACTTTATATTTCTTACCTAGAACTGGGTACAGTTAATATTTTCTTGCATCCCTTAGGATGCACAATCTTTTTCTGCGGTCATTCTACACATTTGTTCATAATGGTTGTACATTTCTATTCATGTAAAACCATGTATCACCCAAGGTGAAATTTGAACAGCCTGTTAATAGCCTTTGATACAGAGACATTGTCATGGAACACGAGTAAGATTTCCATTATTACCTGAGTGACACAGGCATTGACATACAAGTTGACTACCTACAATACCTGACAAAGAGGGCCCCATATCACCATAAATCAACGAGATTGTAAGTCATCAACTAAACAAATATCAATAAATATCACAGACATAACTGCACAAACAGTTTGAGTGAATCAACATATTTCAAGTCATTTGAGACTGAGTACGGAAACATCTATGAGTGGATAACTAATAAAAAATGAACATTTTGAACATAACAAAACATACTTGTTGTTACTACATGGTCGATAATTATTTATATAACACTGTCTTTATTTTCATGTCAATGGAAAGAAAAATATTGAAATTTCCTCTCAACTGACATTCCTCCTCCTGCCTATCTATGTGATAACATGTAATAGTCATTGTCAGAGAATGATGCCAGTGTATAACAAGTGTATATGCATAACTGAAACATGACATTCTGCATATGCAGCTATTACAACTAATAGCTGACTGTACTGATTATTATCAACATAATCCCCGTGATCTGGCAAACACCAGCTTACATCTAATAAGCCCAGTATTACTAGGAATGCATATTTTAGAAGAAAATGGAATAAAAACAACAATATTTCAACTATACTGATGGAAACAAATAAAGGAACACACGATGGTTTCTTTGCATACTTTGTAAATTGTATAGCACTGTGTGGAAATGTGGAAGTAGATATAGGAACACTTAGCAATATTCCAACTATATGACAGTGGTCTGTAAATAACAGATTATGAACCAGACAATCCAGTGTTGCTCTATTCAATTGGGATATGCTGTCAATAAAAAAACATGGTGAATACATATGTATAATTTTATGCTACTTTAAGCAATATTCAAGCACTATCAAAGAAGGGACTTCATATTGTACCAATGTGGGGAATCAAACCCAGACTTGCAGCTTGACAAGTAAATGCTTTAACTGCTACACTTATCCACTGTCCCTCTAGAATATACCAGCTGTAAAGCCTGAACAGAACATAGCAAGTCTATCCAACAAAACCTGGGACTTGCAAGTTGCAAGATAATAGAGTTCATCAAGTCAGACAGAGTTGTCTCCCTTAATTCCTCCAATGAATGCTTCCTGACACACCGACATTTCAACTCATGTGTTATGTTTCCAAAATGTAGGAAAAATAACAATAGGGATTTGACAAACAGTGATATTCACTTATAATTTAACATGTTTAATGCGGCCAAATACCTCAAATTTTGGACAAATATAATTCTTTGTAATTATCTTGTAAGTAAAATATGTTATTCATAGCTAAACAACCACAAGAAGAAAGATGAACACAGACAACAGTTAATCACAAAGAGGTTCATGATATACAACATCGACTTGTTTAGAGAAAACATTAACACACTACACAAGAATACAACAATCTTAGAACACATCTATCACTACAGTGCAAAACATTGCAGGAACTCATGCACTGGTTGCTGAACATCGAGTGATACAGGTAGGTGGGGTGTACGGGACAGTTATTGAGACTAGTCAGTAGGGAAATACTACAACACACAACTTAGTGTTACATACCTCATAGCTTGGGATTGGCTCCAAGACAATGCAAGACACCAAAGCAATATGTAAATTATATGTGATAATACCCATATCATCATGATAATTATCAACATTTATACACAAGAAGGTAAATAAATTTTATATTTAAAACAATTTTATCTTGCAATATACTTATAAATATTTAAGGACTCATGGCTTGCTACTTTAGTGAGTGGAAGTAATGTTAAGTCATAGTCAAGTAACAAATGACAACTGGCAGTAAATAAATGGTTCTGGAACAAACCTCTGATTTATAGACTCACAGTGCACACCATCATGACACATAATCAGCAATATACACATTGTAAGCAGCATTGAGATCCTCACATTTGTCGATTTGTATGAACAGTAGAGCTAACGAGGTTACCATGGTTACTGGTAATTTATTCTGACCCTGATCCAGCTGGATGCCATATACTACATACACAATATGCTCAATTCATTAACATGATTATTCTTTTTTGATAGATGACAACTGCATGTGAAGACAATGCCATTGCTAAAAAATTCCACTCGTCCGTTCGTATTGACAAGTAAAATTTGTTTCGGGAAAATGAAAAACATAATTTGCTCGTACGTTTTCTGACCCAAAAGTAACATTTTTATTTTTCTTTGAAGTTCAGCTATCTCAAATGGAGAATGAATTCAATTTTGTCAAAGATTTTGTACAAAAGACAAAGTAAGTAATGTTTATTATAGTTTTATTCCAAGCAAACATTTTGAAATAAAATAATTTAAATTTATATTCATTGTGATGCATGATCTATAGGGCAAGTACAATTTTAGAAGGACGAGTGGAAAGTTCATATTACTCGCCCTACAGGGTGAGTGCAGATTTTTGAATTTTTCGAGCCCTGAATGCCCAAACATTCAGTGAGTGAGTTTAGTTTTACGCCGCACTCAGCAATATTCCAGCTATATGGCGGCGGTCTGTAAAGAATTGTGTCTTGACCACACAATCCAGTGATCAACAGCATGAGCATTGATCAACGCATTTGGGAACGGATGACATGTGTCAACCAAGTCAGCAAGCTCATCAATTCTAACCCGGATCTTCACGGGATCACTGGCATTCAAAATGGCTACATTCATGTTATGCTGTGAGACTGAGAGTACCACCAATAAACAGTTTGATGGGGTGCAGAAGTAAGTTGGTTAAATTTATCCCATTTTTCTTTTAATGAAACATTTTTAGCATTATTTGTATAATTTTAGTCATGCTGGCAGTGCACACTGAAAATATTTCATCCGTGCCATTTTAATAGCTACCGCACCATGGCATATAAGTTGTTGTCAAAAAAGGATAAAAACTCAATTTATTTGAAGATTCTACTTGACTTGATATATCATACTTAGCTTTGATCATGATAAATGTTATGTAATATAAATAACTTAGTAAGGGGCCATTGCAACACAAAATAATAATGAACATGAATATTTTGCTGGTACTAATCCAGTGTAACTACAGTTTTAAAGTGCTATGCCACTCATATACCCTGCCACAGTTTAACATTTACACCAAGCACTGACTTATGTTCTATCCCCTTAATGCTGAGTGCCAGGCAGGGTAACATCAAGTACCATCATTTAATGTTTTGTTGGTATAAGGCCAGGATCGAACCAACATCCTTCTGATTGATGGGCAGATTCTCTATCAAGAGCAAGATAGGTCTCAGAGATGGCATAAATGAAACAGAAAGGCTCTTGTAACTGTAATTGAATAAAGTGTATTCAATATGCATTTTCCAACAAAAAAAACCCATGCTTAATGTTCCAGCGAATACCATGAATACCATATTTCTATACATTTCTATAGAACAAACCACCATATGTTGCAAAACGTATGCTTCAATATATTTACATCTTGTCATGATTTTATCAATGTTGCCAACGAATGCCTGAGACTATTTCAATAAATGACTAATCAACATCAAAATAGCTCAAAACAAAGTGACACATGAGTGTTAATACACTTAGAATAATCATTGAATATCATGTCTAAACAAACTTTCAGTTTCTCAGGATTTCTGGGGACTTCGTTTAGATTTTTTCTAATATTTTGAGAAACAATGAATCCAAAAATTATTTGTCATATGGTAAAGGTCAGGTCAACCATATCCTGATACCTTTGAGCATGAAGCTGTAATGTCAGTGTGCAGAAAATTGTCAATAATTTGTAGAATTTACTTTTTAAAACAGTTGAAGTACATAACTCATGGGCCATAGTGGACTCATGTGCCATGTTGTTCATAAGGTGAGGTGAAATTGGGTTTAACGTCGCGCTGGGAGAATATTTCGCTCATATGACGGCGTGCATGCCTGTGTTTGTGTAGGTGTATGTGCGGCTGCTTGTACAAGCCCAGACTGAAGCTGGTTTTATAGCGCTAGCCCACTTAGATACCATGCCGCAGTGAAGCATGAATACCCCACTCAGACACATTATACTGACTCCGAGCCGACCAGTCCTTGTTGTGCCCATTAATGCCGAACGCCAGGCAGGGACCAACAAGTACCATATTTTAACGTCTTTTGGTATGACGCGGTCGGGGATCGAACCCGCGACCTTCCGCTCTCCGGGCGGACGCTCTAACCACTACACCACGGAGGCGGTCTGTTGTTCATAAAATGTGTATGCATCTGATATATATGAAGTGGAATAAATAGCATTAGGCAAATGGGTACAGATTTTACTAAATACTATTGAAATGAGCATGTCAACCCTGCCTTACAAGATATATTAAACATGTTAAGGTACACCTTGAGTCTAAAGATGTATTGAAGTGAATTCAGTATGACTCAGCATGTCATAATCAAACATCCTAAATGTTATTACCATTTTACCACCATCTCAATAACATCGTAACTTCGAATGATTCATAAGAAACACTTAAACATGCTGAAGGACCAACCTCTGGCATGTTTCAACCATTCATCCGGTTCAATCATGCGGCGATTTGCATGGCTAATTATGAGAGTACTTATGTCATTTAATAAATGTCTTGAGCTACTTTTTGTTAGAAACGTGGTATTTAAAGCGTTTACGTTTCATTTTTAGTAAATATGACAGGCAATGTTGAAAAAAAAGACTACAGTACATGACAGAAGAGGTGCTCACATTTCTGTTCCAATGAATGGTGGAGCATGACTTTGTCGTTTTGTTTACACTGCCTATGTCTATACTAACCTGCAAAGGATCGGTCTTGTTTGTTGCAACCAGTAACTCTGTTTCGGTGAAGGACAAAGAACCGTTTTTAAAGAAACGAATCGCACGAACAGCGTAAAAATATTGACAACACCACCAAAATAATAGTCTCGTGACCTACGGGGTTGCTTCTCGATGACTTCCGGGTTCAAACACATTATGAGTTCAAGAGTTGTTTCCCTTACTAATCACTTCAGCTTTTACAGGCGCTTCACGTAGTCACAGTACAACGCACCTGCTAACGTACATATTATTGGTGTATAATGTCAGCACAAGACTGAGAGTGATGATGTAGTAAATTCGGGAGGGGTTGGTCGTCGTTCTTACGATTAATTAAGCCGAATATACGTGTTAACGTATTTTATTATCTTCTTAAGGGTGAAATACTGTAAATATTGGTATTTTCACTGAGTAGAATAACATGTTACTTCACTGAGTTAAATATCACTTTTGCCTGGAACTCAAGGGCTAGACTGTAGTTGGGTTGTGTAATAATATGCAGACTAACTCGGTGTCTCGATCATTTATAAACGATGATCAAAATATTATAAATAGAAAATTTTGTTAATGTTGTCAAATAACATGTATATTTCATCTCGTGGTCTGACAAAGTTGATATGTTCCCGAGTGGCGCCACTCGGGAACATATCAACTTTGTCAGACCACGAGATGAAATATACAAGTTATTTGACAACATTAACAAAACATCCTCTATATGTTATAACCAGACATTGCCAGGAGCCATTGAATAAAATGTACTGTAGAAAAGAAGTGTTAAAACTATCAGTTATCATGGTGGAGTCATTACGTGCACACAGTATTGTCACTTTTCTGCATTCAGACGCATGTACATACAGCCATGGTGTAGGCGATCGTGAAGAGGAGTTGTTAATTACATAATATAGTAGAGTTTGCAACAAGGATGTTCGCACGACTGACCACAATAATACTCGGTCATTAGTGAGTAAGTTTAGTTTTTCGCCGCTTTCTGCAATATTCCAACATTATCACGACACCAGAAATGGGAGGAATCGAACCCTGGTCTTCGAGCGAACGCTTTGTCCACTAAGCTACTCCACCGCCCCTCATCAGAGTCAGGTGGTCACTCTCGGTTACTTTGTTGATGCATGTCATAGTATCCCAGTTGGACATATCTATCCTCGTGATATCGATCACTGGATTGTCTGGTCTAGCTGGAATAACTAAGGGGTGCTGCATTAAACAACAAACAATTGTTACCACCACTAAAAAAAAAACCCCCCAAAAACCCCATCTTTTTATGGCTCTTGGATTTTCTGTTTCTATTTGCTATTGTTATGTTTCTTGCTGTAGTGTGGGGGGTTACTAAATTAAAAGGACTTTTACAGGAGCAAAATATACTCACTAAATGCTTATGTAATTGGTGTATCCTGATGATTGTTCGGCAAGGTTTAGCAGGGCACGTCTAATTCCGACGATGTGATACTGAGAACGCTTAGTCTGTCGTCAGTGCCGTTTCTCCGGTTTTGGGTTGTCGCTGTAGGTTTTGTGGAGGCGTAGACAGAGAGAGGGCGGGTCTGGCGCCGCTTGTCACGCGACGAGGGCGCGCAGCACAGCAAACAATTCAGCTGAAATGTAGGATAATATTGTACATATTTTACTAATTTTGTCCGATTTAATCAGTTTTTGTCGTTTTATTATTTATAAATTAACATGACATCATATAAACGAACACAAATCATTTCATATATCATGTACGCAGGCTCAGAGGAGGACCAAGAGGTTTTGTTATTCCCACAGAGTGAAAGTGAGTGAGTGAGTGAGTTTAAAGCCGCTTCAGGACTGCATAAAATTCAGGGCGCATTGAATCCCATAGTCATACAAATCCGTGCCCACTTTCCTATATACTTCGACCGCCTCCGTGGTGTAGTGGTTACAGCGGAAGGTTGCGGGTTCGATCCCCAGCTGCGTCATACCAAAAGACGTTAAAATATGGTACTTGTTGGTCCCTGCCTGGCGCTCGGCATCAATGGGCACAACAAGGACTGGTCGGCTCGGAGTCAGTATAATGTGTCTGAGTGGGGTATTCATGCTTCACTGCGGCATGGTATCAGTGGGCTAGCACTATAAAACCAGCTTCAGTCTGGGCTAGTACAAGCAGCCGCACATACACCTACACATACACAGGCATGCACGTCGTCATATGAGCGAAATATTCTCAAGCACGACGTTAAACCCAATTTCACCTCACCTCACCTATATACTTCAGTCTTATTTGTGTGTAAATGGTCAATACACGAAAAAAAGGGATATACATATAATGTTTTCAGTCTTAGCCACGGGCGGATACAGCTTTTTGAGATTCAAGCGGTGTGTGTGTATACGTGCGTGCGCGCAGTTCATTTTCACCCGTTTTGACGTGAGTTTCAATGGCCATTTAATAAACGTTATAAAAGAAAGATCTGGGTTAGAATTCATCTTCAGTAACCCATGCTTGTCGTAAGAGGCGACTAACAGGATCGGGCTCGCTGACTTGGTTGACACGTGTCATCGTCTCTCACTTGCGTAGATCGATGCTCATGCTGTTGATCACTGGATTGTCTGGCCCAGAATCGATTAGCTATACAGACCGCCGTCATATAGCTGGGATATTGTTGATTGCCTCGTTACAACAAACAAACGAGAAGACCAGAATACGGATCGGGAGGGCAATCACCTACGTTGTCGGGGTACACTGACATATAACTCGACCATACGATCCACTTGATCACCTCTTAAGACCAACCTAGGCTGTTAGGCCTATTCTAAAGCAGCATTCGGAATAGTGCCAGAATAAGGATTGGGAGGGTAATGGCCTACTGTCGTTAATCAAAACTCACTCATATTAACATATGTATATTTTAGTAATTAACTTCTAATATTTCACTAAATAACTGCGAAACAACTTATTTTGTACATACAGTTAACGCTCCCTACCTTCTCGAAGAAACCCATTATACAGCCATCTTTGTCTCTGCACCCAATGTGATTGTATAAGTATAGACAACGAAGGCCAGATTCCGAAAGACCTCCCACTCTCGTATCCAGCCAAGTTAGAAATGTTTCCACTGCTCATTCACAACAAGTGTATCTAAATGATAGGGTATGGTTGTTGCCACATGTACGTTATCTTCAGCTGTAGATCTGTGACACACCGCTACCCGACACCCAGCGTTAGCCCTGGCTTCTTAAGAAACAGGAATTGTGTATTGTACGTGTTCATCTTTCTGTGTACGTGTGGGTAGGTCCAAATGTAGCGTGGTGATCGCATGCTTGATAACATCAGATCGGAATCCACATGAACACTTTGTTTACAGACACACCATGACCCATGCAGAGTGGATATATTACTAAATCGACAACAATCTATCTTGTTTTCGAACTGAACGAATTAATATAGTTAACGGAGAAATTATAACTTCTTTGAGTGGCGTTTAAAAGTTTGTGTGATGAACAACGAGGAGAGTTCTATGGCTATACAACTTCTGTATTATTAATACTTGCTTGATATCGGTGTTAGTAACTACGCCGAAACGTCGCTCATATTAATTTTAAAGAAGTTGTTGGGAGAAATCATGTTTGATGCGCATTTAATTTTCACAGCAATCCTGATCACGTTTTTTCACGCACTTAAATTAATTCCATCCGGAAGTTGAAATAAGTATTATCTAGTATCCGTATATGTTCCAATTCTGAGACTTGATTCAGTTTTACATTGTAAAACCTTGAAGGGCCTCTTTTAGGGTGATGCCCGATCATCCATACAATGACATGTCTGGATGAGTGGATGTTCACAGGAAGTACTGAACGCCGCCTGGTGGCAAGTGCCCGTTACCTCCAGCAACTTCCGACTCAAGGGAACAAGCCGGTGGAGATGGACTTGTTGAGCATTTTTTATTTTCTTTTGGTGGCTGCCTTAATTATTTTGTCCCTGGTGAGTCAAATAGCAACGTACTATGTATATTTTAGTTGTGCAATAAATGACACAGTCATTCATTGACTCTGAAGGCTCTAAAGTGAATAATTTATCCTAGAGGGCTGACGACCAATATTGTTGCATCAGTTTGACTGTATGTATTCATGTGTTAAGCTGTGCAAACACCTCCCCGCTGGGAAGTATAACCTTAGGCCTCCGTTTAGCAAATTGCCACTTTCCGTACAGGTGGTGACGTGGAGCCATGATATGATTCTAAAATGCACAAAATTATCAGTTTCCATATTTTAAACATTTTTGTTATTGGTTGAAATACACAGATAATCTTGTGGATGAAGAGTGTTAAAAGATGATGAAATTATATTTTATCTTATACATGTATTTTTGTTTTCATTTTAAATGTATTAATGATACCATTTCTATTGTTTGCAGTGTCTAGTGATAATATATGTCACATCTGTAGCTTATCCTGACTTGGGAAGATATGAGAGTGAAAAATCTTTCCATGACCCCAAAAGGAAGACAGAGGGTGAATTTCCAAGCATCCATGATCCGCCCAGCGTCGACTTGACTGTGGTGGTCCCAGCTTACAATGAAGAAGCAAGATGTAAGAGAGTTCTAATTATTGACGTTGGTTTGAATAGATGATTGATTTGTTTTATATCTGAATGTTCATAGACTGATAATTCAGTAGTGGTAATTATGGAAATAAAGTATAATGTAATCATATAAAGTAATCAAATATCATGTTGCTTGGCATTTTAAAAGTTGATGAATAATAGGAAAGGTATGATACTTTATGGATGACAATTTCATTGTTATAGTATAATGCAATGTATAAGAATCTATACCAAGACATTGCATAATAATGAAATAAAGAAGTTATCATCCAAAATGTATCATACCTTTCTTATTACACACTTCTCATTACCGTGATTACACTTGAATGTATTTGTTAGTAATATACAGGCTACAATACAGTTTCACTTAACATGTTCAAGAAATGTGAGTTTGGGTTAATAAGTAAATTGCATTAGCTGATGTATTAATTGCTGTGTTTTCATGGCTAACATACTCAAGAAAGTAATGAAATCAAAACACTGATGCCATGGTTTTTTCTGCAGTATCCATTATGCTGGATGAAGCTTTAGAGTACCTTGAGGGCAGACAGGTGAGTGTTTGGTGTCATGTGTTGCAAGTAATTACAGAATTAACATGTTAACAATTTGCATAACATGTTATATTGATTTATCACTTTGTTATTAGTTTGTTGTTGTTGTTAGTTACAAGATAGACAATACTTGTGTAATTCAGGATGTATCCTAGAATGGAATATTTGAACACTAATGCCAATTAACTGATAATGTTGAAATGAAATAGCATATGCATTTGTATGTTCATTTCAAATAAGATAAACATCAGTGCCCTTCTTCACTAGTAGTTTTGTAATAATGGTATAAATGCCAGTATTGAGACCAAAGGTTAAGTCGTACAAAACAAAAACATTATCTTTCTTGTTTTTATTTCCAGCAAAGCAACCCGTCTTTCAGTTTTGAAATAATTGTTGTTGACGATGGCAGTAAAGATAAAACATCTGAGGTATGTAAACTCAATGTATTAAAATGTTTGCTTGTAATGCCGAAGACCCATTTCTGGTGTTCCCCGCTGTGATATTGCTGGAATATTGCTAGAAAGCTAAATGAGCCAGACAAATCGGATTTAGCTCCTGTTCCCTCAATATACCTGTATTTTCTTGTATATATGTTAGGTACAGTCAGCATTAAACGTGATGTTTTGTTTGTTTCAGGTAGCTTTAACTTATTCTGAAAAGTATGGTGTAGACAAAGTGCGAGTTCTAACATTAGCGAAGAACAGAGGAAAAGGAGGAGCCATTAGATTGGTATGTATACATGATTCTGCAACAGGGGATTGGGTTGATTGATAATATCTGAGCCTCATATTGAAGGAATTGCGTTATACTGAAATCTTATGTAGTGGACATTACGTGATGTCATTTAGGTATATCCCCCAAAACTTGAGGCATTTACATTTCTGAAAAGTTATCTGTGACTTAATAAGAAAATGGCTAGTCTTAAGGAATGTTGCAAATCAGTTTTCCAAAAGTCACCCCCAGCTATTTAACAAACTGTGACTTAAACGTAATCCTTATATTTTATTTCAGGGTATATTTGTGGGTCGAGGCAAACTGATGTTGTTTGCTGATGCTGATGGTGCAAGTAAATTCAGTGACTATAAAAAATTAGAAGTGGAACTGAAAAAACTGAATGATCAGGTATGTTGAGATTTGCAAAGTGAGATTCTGTCAGATGTAATGTTGCATAAGTAGTGCCATAACTTCATGTCCCCTGTACCCTAAGCTTGTTATGTGTGGTAACTGTGAAATATACTTCCACCAATGCTTGTAATAAGTGTGTAAATACATGATTAAATTGTGTACTTAATTTTGTATTGTTTTGAGATGGTATTTCTGGTATTACGCGCTAATATAATGAGATGGTGTTGGGATAAAAACCTACAAAATTGTCATGGAATTTATAATGCTCACATGTTTTAAGAAATATATAGTAACAGTTATGTATGCGGATTTGAATAAATAAAATTTAGCTGAATTTTTTGTCAAAGCCTGCAGATTATTTTATGAGCTACATAAACGTGACAGTTTATTTTACTATATTTTCCAGAACAATATGTGTGTTGTGTGTGGGTCAAGAGCACATCTGGAAAAAGATTCTATAGCTGAGGTAAGTTTGATTGAAACTTGCAATAGCGAAATGTAGATGTTTTGTTTAACTGTATTTGCTTTCAGTTATTTTGTTGCTTCTAAAAGATGATGAGATTGTACCATGTTTCTTGTCTTCTGGTTGGGGGTGAAATTATGTAACTTTGGTGTTTTCCTTTCCTTTCTTAGACACTAGGGGCGGTGGTGTAGCCTAATGGTGAAAGTGTTCGGTTGTCACCCCAAAGACGATTCTGGGTTCGATTCCCCACATGGGTAAAATGTGTGAAGCCCATTTCCGGTGTCCTCCGCCTTGATATTGCTGGAATATTGCTAAAAGCAGCGTAAAACTAAACTCACTCACTCTTTGACACTACTTGAAAATGTGTCAAAACATGGACTGTCTGAAAGGTTCACCAGCAATGGTCTGAACTGCAGAATCTTCAAATTCTTTAGGAAAAACGTAGATGTGGCTGGTATAATGCATAGATTACCTGTTGTTTAATACACTGTCAGGTCTGTACATTTAATTCCATGTTGGGCGGTGGGGTAGCCTAATGGTTAAAGCGTTGGCTCGTCACGCCGAAAACCCAGGTTCGAATCCCCACATGGGCACAATGTGTGAAGCCCATTTCTGGTGTCCCCTGCCGTGATGTTGCTGGAATATTGCTAAAAGTGGCGTAAAACCAAAACTCAGTCAGTAATTCCATGTTCAGTTTAGGATGGTTACTCTTACAAGAGGTGCGGTGGGGTAGCCTAGTGGTTAAACCTTCACTCATTACGCCGAAAACATGGGTTTGATTCTCCACATGAGTACAATGTGTGAAGCCAATTGCCAATGTCCCCTGCTGTGATATTGATGGAATGTTGCTTAAAGCGGCATAGAACTAAAGTGACTCACTCACTTTTACAGTACAGAGCCAGAGATACCTTTGTGAAAGCTCTGGTTACCAAGGTAACATGAAAATACAGGATGTTTGCATCCTAGTTGAGCCATTTTCTTGTATTACTTTAGCTGTTACAGAAGAATCAAACATAGAATGTTTTTGTGTGTTTTCAGCGTTCCGTTTTCCGAACATTCCTGATGTATGGGTTTCACTTCCTGGTGTATTTTCTCTGTGTGAGGGGGTCAAGGACACACAGTGTGGCTTCAAGCTCATGACAAGGGAGGCGGCCATTTTACTTTTCTCAAATTTGCACGTTGAAAGATGGTGAGTTGTGAGAGCTTAGGATTACATATGCTCCTCAAAGTTTGATAGGGATACTGGGAAGTGAGATGTTTAGTGTAGCATATCATAAAATGATATAACCCTTTAAACATTGTTAAGAAGTTAGTTTGTATATTCTCTATTGAATATTAAGTAGGTAAAATAATATTGTTTGTGCCGTCATGACTACAAGAAAAGGTGACAAATTCTGGATAAAGTAACTATGTCAGTGTGGGAAAATTTCTTTTTTAATTTGTCAAAGCATGCTGTATTATTGTGTATTCCAAAAATAGCATTTGAACAGGAACTCCTAAAGGACCCCAATTTACTAATTTACATGACCTTACTGGAGTCCTGTGAAGTGATGAAGTAGCTTCCTGTGCTGTAAGATTTAGTAATTACTTTGATTACATGACCTATGTATTTCTTGTTAAGAATTTTGTACAGTGAATATTATCAGTTCATTATTGTTGGTCCCACAGGGTGCAAGATATACTTATTGTCTGCATACATTTGTACATTTGTACACACACATTTCTGCTTCATGTAGAACCCAGTTAGAATTGATCAAAAGATATCAATGCTTCTGTTCATCAGTTTTATAAAGTGTTGCTTAGAAACGATTTTGTTAATTTCAGGGCATTTGATGTAGATATGTTGTATCTAGCTCAACACTTCAAGATTCCTATTGGAGAGGTAGCAATTGCATGGCAAGAGATTGAAGGTTAGTTTCTGTGTAATAGGTAAAGTAATACTGGTAAGATGAGATAATGTATAGTCAGAGACGTAATTTGTACGCGAGACGGCCTATCGTCTCTTGTACGCGAGACGGGTGCGCTCCGCGGTACTAACTGAAGCACTTGACCCTAATTAATTCAATCACCATGGAACCAACTCGATTAGGTGCGAACACGGCGCGGGGTGATTAAAGCGTCCCGTAAAATCCCCAAGTGTGGTGGTTACTTGACAGTCGTGAATGAACAGGTTTCTCGGCAAAGCAGAAACACATGGTAGTTTACATATGCAACTTACGTAAAATCAAGTAATCGCATTTGATAAAGTGATTTACTTCAGTGGAATGTCATGGCTAATTTTAGAAATGTTACAGTATTCATCTTTGCAGTAAGTTCTGGAACATTTTGAAACTAATATTACCTCTACCGCGTTTTTGTGTGACATGCAGAACTTCCCTGTCAGGCAGTCACGCGAATGAGTGACCCCCTCTCAGGTAGTCACTTGTACACGTAACAGGGGACCGTCTCGCGTACATGTTACATCCTCTACTGATATACTACCCATCGAAAGCTTAGACTCAACACTAAAACGCAGCTGTTCACATGCACGATATTGCACATACTTTCCAGCAATTTGATGCATGATCCCTGTGCAATTCATCTGCATAAGGTTTGCTGTTGGTTCGCCCAAGTAAGAGGAAACATCAATCTTCGATGTAACCATATATATATACATAACATATAGTGAGTGTTTTAAGTGAGTCTAAACTTTTGATGGGTAGTATATGTAGTAATAGTAGGGAGGGTTATTGGAGGTTCAAAGTGTATAACAATATGTTGTGATACACAAGGTTGTATTGTGATACATTTCACAATATGTTGTATACTGCATTCCAAAAGAAAGTGAACATTGCAGGCGTTTGAAATTACATGGCTATAAGACATAACTTAAGTCGAAGTGGTGTGTTCAAGGCTCAGATGGCCATTCTTGTCATTTGTGTGTTCTGGTGATCTGGTGCTGAAATGGCTGCTTTTGGAGGCCATGCTCGATACTGAACTGTCATTTCAAATTTAACATAATGACGCGAACTAATGATGTCTTATTGATGTGTTTATGAAAAATGTGTGGTTATGAATAAAGATTATTTGTATTTTCACTTTAAGCACTCATGTTGTTTTCTTTGCATGTTTTCATTAGCAAACATCAATCTCTTAATTCACCACTGTATCACAGTTTTGTGTTGTTTGCATTTCTTTTGGAACTGAGTATACAATTCTAAAATTTGAATTTAGGAGCAATCTCAAATATCCGTCCAAAAAAATCCACACTGAATTTTTTGGTCTCTTTACTTAAAGAATATCTAATATCTAATCCGATTATTAATCAGTATATTGACTGTTGATTTCGTGATACTTTTAAGTTGACATTGTGACGCTAAAATTTGTAGAAAATTAGAAATGGATATGAATTAGAGGTATCAAAAATGAATGTGGAAATTCATTGTTAATTTGATCTTCACAGGTTCAAAAATGGTTCCGTTCTGGAGCTGGATGCAGATGGGTCGAGACCTGCTTCTTATACGTCTACGGTACATACTAGGTGCCTGGAAGATCAACAGTAAACCAAAGTCAGCATAGAGTTGTCTCCCTTGCCTGTTACGTTCGTTGCATCTACTCTAAATGTCGTGTAGGCAGCTACTTTAAAACAAAACTTTCTTTTTCTGAAAAACGGAGTTGTGTTCATGCAGTTTAAAAACTGTTTCTATTTCTAATTTGGCTTTAATGCCAGTTTAAATGGGTGGATTTTAAATAAAAATCCTGTTTGGTTGTTTTTCACATCTGTTCATTAGATTATGTTCTTGCATTCAAGATGTTGTTTTTGTTTTCTTATTGCTACATTGTTGATGTTAATATGGACATGTTTTCCCATTTGTTTAAAATGAATGTTTTTGCACAAAATTTAGACTATCCTTCTTTACAATCTTCAAAATCGTTTTTTCTGTGTAACCCTTTACCACTGGTTAGTAAATTTTGATGAAATTAAATTTTAGGGAATTGTTATTAAGTTGGCCGAGTACAAGTTGGACCAGAAATACTTAAGTACTTAGTGTAGAATCTAATGTTTTCAACATTTGTATATAGGTACATGAGAGTTGTGTTGTATACTAAAAGAGACCATCTAATTCTTTCATATTACTAGGGTTATCGATTATTACAGATTACCTGTAGCTATATGAAACAATGTGGTGGTCACAAGTTTTTGTAAGTAGTACATATATGTTTAAGATTTGCCCATATTTCTAGTTGATATTAATACACAAATGTATAATCTTATCTGTATCCTCAATATTTATGCAATTTTTAATGTAAGAAGAGTATTTTTAAAATGTATGTGCTAATTCATTGAAAGAATGAATGGATGTATGGAAGCCATATTGGCCTGAAGAACATAGAAATATTTTTCATGAATGAGTATGTTTTTTTCTTCAGCATTTATTATCTTGTGCTGTAGGTTCCCATTTCACACAGTTCATACTGAAAGGTTGTTTTTGTTTACGTGTTGATATGAATTGGAAGTACCTGTATACATAAAGCTGAATATCAAAATCCATCTACCCTACTGAATTAATACGACATTCTTTTTTAATATCACTCTGATGCAGTAGAGAATATTTGCCAACACACAATTGTTATTATCATGTTTTATATTCAACACTTTGTATGTCCATGGTTGTTTTTGAAACATTGTGAATCACACTATGTAAGCATGTTGATATCTTACAGGTACAGTAAGGTAAGTTGATGAACTGGGTCATCCTGAAAGATGAAAGATTTGTTGTGAAAATCAAGCAACCCCTGGCCACAAATATTCTTCCAACACTGCTGGATATTTCTGTGTATTTATCCTCCCTTCCAGGAATGTTAAAGTCCTCACACACTCAAACGCTATGTATCCCAAATGCATGACATGCAGACATTTTCCAGGGTGTGGACAGAGACATTCTTGGTACCTCTCTTCTCCCACCTGTCGCCACACATAAATATGGTTGTCAGTTCCAAATTCTATCTGAGATTCATTATTAAACTCTACCTTGCCCCTGAAGCTATGTATTTGATAACTCAGTTCGATCAGCACCACAAAACTGCCTATTTTTCTGTTGATCCAAATGCGTTTGCTAACAATCCTTCTGTGATATCCTTTCTGATGTTAGTTATGCTCAAAAGTTCACCTGGAAAAGTGGAAGACCTTGTTTTGTTAAAAATATTTGCAATTTCTGCTAGCGATTTTCTGTTGACTTAGGACATCATGAATCAGCACACGTCTGTGACGGTTGCTCAGAAGCTTCGGTCTACTGGTTCATGGCTGATTTTCCACACTTCTATTGTTGCTATAGCGATGAATAACGCCATGCACAGTACACTTGGGAGATTCAGCAGTTATCTTACTTCTCAACAGGCTTTCTATTCAAATACTGGTCTATGATAAGTTCTCATTAGTCTGGTGACAGAATGTTCCTTTTCTGAGGGGGCGGTGGGGTAGTCTAGTGGTTAAAGCGTTGGATCGTCACGCCGAAGACCCGGTTTCGAATCCACATGAGTACAATGAGTGAAGCCCATTTCTGGTGTCCCCTGCCGTGATATTGCTGGAATATTGCTAAAAGCGGCGTAAAACCAAACTGGGTCTGGGTCCTTTTCTGAAATCAGTGGCAGAAATAGAGAGACGACTAGCACACGACAATAAACTGCCTCGTACTTGATACTCAATGACATCTTCAGGTGTGGGGCCAAATTTCACATCATAAAACATTTCACAGTACGAAGGTTAGACACAATAAACCAAACGGATGCTCCCTTGTCAAACGTACATCTCACATGTTCCTTAATTTGGGGCATGATAATGTACAATTGTTTTATGTTACATTTCTAGAAATTCTTGATTAACAATTAAACTGACTGTTTGTAGCCATGAAGGTAATATGTCACAATCAAATGTTTCATCACAATTGTTTTTTCATCATTCATTTCTTTGATGTAAATGCTCAACTTGTACAGTGTTGATATTTTGAATTATCTTATTCAATTTACACCAGATACCTGAAAGATTGTTAACTTACAGATCTTATGAATAATAGATTATGTACAAATTATGCACTGAAATCTTTAAAAGGTTTAGGATAATTCTGAAATCATAGCACTTACAAACGCTCATGGTATACCAGAAGATTTTTAAAAATTTAGTTGTAAAATGAGGTTACCATGAATGCTGTTTAGTGATATTTCACAAGAGTCTAAACTTTTAAACGTTTTTCTTTCCAACAACCTTCATTTTATCATTTATATAATATTACTGCTTAAAAGCAGTTAAAAACCACCCAATTTTTTCATATTGCCATAGTTGATTTGTCATAGTCTGAGAGACTGACAATAGTATTATGACACTCATGATGTGAGTGAGTGAGTGTTGGTGTATGCTGCACTCGGCAATTTTCCAGCTATATGGTGGAGGTCTGTAAATAATAGAGTTTGGACCAGACAATCCCGTGATCAACAGCATTAGCATCGTTCTACGCAATTGACATATGATAACATGTAATCAAGTCAGCGAGCCTGACCACCTGATCCCGTTAGTCGACTCTTACGACAAGCATGGGTTACTTAAGATCAATTCTAACCCGGATCTGAATTGATCTTCATGGGGGACTTATGGCAAGACAGATTAACCATAGCAATAAGAGAGAATTGGGATCCTTGATTTCTTTTGAGTGGTATAATTGGTAAATAATTAACTGCGCAGTGTCGGCACTGACATTTGGAACAAAGTTTCCGAGGATATTTAAAAAATTATTTATGTTTAGCCGAAACTGCTGATAGTTATGCTGAAGGGGTCATACAGGGTGCTCCATCCCTGAGCCACATTACTCTCCTTCCACCCGATCCTAACTGTGATGCTATAGCTCTGGATACAAAATGTACTGCATAGCCATTTATTTTACTTGAAATGCATTCTGATGTTCCAATTAATTCATATTGCCGCGACAGTCATCAGTTTTTAACAGCTAGTTTTGCAGCATGATATTTACATTACAAGTAAGACAGAAAGCATTTTCTCACTTTTTAACAGACTGGTATATTTTCTGTTTCATGTTTTTGGCCTGGGTGCATTTTTGTATGCTTTGTTACGCCACACTCAGCAATATTCTAGGTATATTATAGCATGGGGATGGTCTGTAAATAATCCAGTCTGGATCAGGCAATCCAGTGATTGATCGATCTAAACAGTGGGGTTATGATGACACGTAAGTCTGCAAGTCTGAGATACCTGAGAACTTCTTTGATGTTTAAATGCAGAACGGTACCTTGGGGAATCTTCTGAAATACCTTTCATGACAATGACACCTTCAGCTATACTGATTTCAAAGGTCCTCAGGTGCTTAATGTGTAATTATTTGTTGCAAGAATGAGTATTTATCGTGTTGGGCTATGTTGGCATTGTCTGGATGGGGGAAATGTGAATGCAAAAATAAACAATATTACTCTTTTGTCTTGTATGGTTTTGTTTTTACTTGCCGGTCACTTGTTCCTGCAGTTCAGTGTGCAGAGTTAAGTCGCTTAGTCCCACAGGAACCCTGTGATCATTAGTTTGAAGCACGGTCCGTCCTGATTATATTTCTAGGTCTGTGAGCACCATACCTTTGCTAGTGGGTTTCATCAAAGCGAAAAATGTTTGAGACAGACTTTCCTCCCATCACCAGAATACTATTCAAACCGTCATTACACTGAACTCATTCACTCACACATGAACATGCTGGTTGTCTCCCTTGGCTCAGTGAGTGAGTTTGCTTTTATGCTGCTGTTAGCAATATTCCAGCAATATCTCGGCCAGGGACACTAGAAATGCCCTTGGCTCAGAATGTGTTCAGTGATGTATGCAATGCTATGATACTGGCACTGGGTCACCAACAGTCTGAAGAAAGTCACAAGGAAAACAGTACACAACACATTAGGTTCAAAGTTTTATTTTTAAAATTATATATTTTTGCCCTTTTATAGCATAAACAATATATGTGTATGGGCGAAGCCATACCAAAAATTGAGCTAAGATTGTTATGCTAGATAATCCTCATGTTCAAGACTTCCTATGTAGTTTTAACAGGACATTGTTTACAAGTGGATTGACGCTGTTACCATGGAAACAGGCATTATGACATATGGGATACGACTATTATGTAATGGTAAACAAGACATGGTCAACATGTAAACATCAAACGTGTTATGTATAGACTGTTAAGAGATTCTTGGTAGCACTGGTATTTGGATGAAGTCAACACAGAAATCAACATAAACAAAACATGTCACTAATATAACTTCTAAATATAGTGCGTAGAATTAATTTCTGTCAATTTTTATTAATGTGAAAATAATATATTCACACCAAAAAGCTGATTTTCCATATTAGTAATGACTTGATTTGATATGATGTACTGGCTCTTGTAATAATGTATAATTCTGACTTATTCTGGCCAATGTTTATATACTGAAGAAATAAAGAAAGGGAACAGCAGCATAATTATAGAGATTCTGATGCTATCTTTAGCATGAATGCCTCAATTATGAAAACAAATGAGTAAAGAAATGAACTAACTCTTCAATATATTAAACAATATCTGGTAACCTACAATCTGTTCCGTCAAATCAATCAGAAATCACGTCCAACATTTTCTTTAACATCTGTTCCCTTAATTCTTCCATTCAGTATACCCTGATTAACAAAATGTAACAATATTTCAAAATATGAAGACCTAAAACATTCCTCCAAATTGTTACGTATACAATTAGTGTCTTGACTTACTTTAACGTTTAGATTCAGAGAGAAATGACTATGCGCCATCTTTCTTTGTGTTAGTAGTAGGACTGGAATCAGTTCAGAAACAAATCAATGGTTTTCGGAAAACCAATAGTTTCACCAGTTGGTTACATGCAGTTTCTAGGGAAATAGTACACTGGTGTTTCAGTGTAATGATCCTTACAGGCTAACATGGGTAGTCCGACTAGAAAGGCTTTTCCTGAGTAAAGCTGAGTAACATACAAGACAATCATTTATATGGTTGCCATGGAAACTGTACACATTATATTTGCAACATTCTATTGTAAGATTGATGAAATATCACTGACACATAACTCCAAACTGAAGCTGAAGTAGGTATTTTAAAATGTTAATTGCTATTTCTAGATCACAATCTTTGATTAGCGTTGTGTCAGTTTTTGATTGCAGTCCAATTTTGATTACTTGCTCCGATATGTCAATATCCAGCATAATATCATACCAACAAATTCAAACCTCAGTTACACTACTGATGGTCACATCAATACAAAAATGATGGAAATGGATTTATATTAAAACATATTGGAACCATTATGAAACAAATTACATCACCTCTATTATCTATTATATATTCAAAAAAAAAATCTACCAAAAAATGTTTCACCAATGATTTGTTTAAGTCTTCAGTTGAAAGAACATGCTTACTGTACGTTAAATATTGCATATTTGAAACATTAAAATATTTTAGAATAAATATGAAACAAATTACATCAATTTTATATGTTCCCAAAAATATCTACCCAAAAATGTTTCAACAATGAATGTTTTATCTCTTTCAATTGAGAGATCATGCTTACTGTAAACTAGATATTGCATATTTGAAATAAACATACAGTTTATGTTTTTAAAGGTGGAAGTGTCAATGATAGGGTGTTGTAAGGAGAAGGAACATACAGCTTGTACAAAAAACAAAATCCCTTTGATTTCGACTGTACAGACTGCCATGTCTCACTGGTTTGTCATATTTATTAATATCTTTTTGGTAACTATGGCAACAACCATTTCTATGTACAACTATCTTCTCTCCATCACTTTGGCACATATGAGTTGATTATTTTGTACATCATAAATAACTCTATGATATATCTACAACATCTCTTTTCCTTCTGCAAAGCTTGACTTAACATACCCTCATATCTGAGGTATCTAAGTCGTCTTTGAAGCACAAGAACATTAAACAATCAACATTTTAACAATTTGAAAAATGTATACATCTATTTGGTAACCTCTGTTAATATAAAACAAATAACAGAAATTTGCATACAGTCCAGTTGTTTCAGATGCTGCTATAAAATTGCCCACTTTTATCAATATACACACGACCAATAATGGGCGACTCATGATAAAACAGTTTTCATATAAATGTGAAATGAAAATGTTAACTGCACTGTCGCATGGATGAAAACATTGTTTTATAATGAATTATTGCTTGTATAAAAATGTTAAAAAATCTCAATGTTATCAAAGTTTATAGGTAAAAAATTTAAAACAGCAAATTCTGAACCAACGTTTGCCTAACCCTTCCTACTTTCGACGTACAAGAACATAGATTATAAATATACAATTAACGATTGCACTTTCATGACAGTTGGGGCAGTTCTTGTATTATTTACAAAACTAATCGCTGGCTCAGCATGTCTGCATACATATATATATACACACTACAATACAATCATCATATTCTATTTTTGCATAGATTCCCTTAGTGTTATTGCAAAAACAAGTGTTAATATGAAAGACATTATGATTTAGATTCCTGTCCAAGCGGCACGTTCAAACCAGCTGTATATTGTCAACTAATTTCACACAGCGGTTGAGCATTGTGTTGTCACCATGGAAACACACCTCTGAAATCATTCCCGGTCACTGAGCAGTGGAGTTCATGGAATACCGGTTTTCCAAATATTCATGGATTTAATCCAGCACATCTGTAAATCAGTGGAAAAATGCCACAGAGGTCTCGTATCTTTCAAATATTTGGAATTGCACATTCTTTGCCCATAACACACTGGTTCTCATACAAGTGTCTCTTGTTCATAGCCTTCTCCTTTCTTATCAGCTGCGATCATTTCCCAGTGGCGCCACCGTTCCCTCTGCCATTCTGCAGACCCGACAGGAGCGTCTTCACCTTGGTTGAGATTCAAAGGTCGCCTCTGTGATGATGACCTGCGGATTGGTCGAGGTGAGCTTGTTCTAGAAGATGGAGGTGACTGGTTCGACCACTGTATTGAGGTGTCCGACCCACCTGGACTGTTCGTTGAGGACAAATAACTGCTGATGCTAGAGCTGCTGTTCTCTCGGAGATAACTCGGCTTTGGAATGGACAAACTGTGAGAGTATCCCTCGGAATAAGGCCGGTCCCCACGCACATCCACGTGTGGTCGTAATAACACCTCAGGACTAGAACTGTCTCTCGAAACCTTCACTGTCGGAGTCCGAGATGTCCGCTGACTCCTTGATACAAGTGGACTAGCGCTCTTTTCAATATTTACACGCACTTTGGGTCTATCCTCACTGGAACTTGCAGTCCTTCGTTCCTCTACAACAGTCCCTGACTTTCTATGAGCAAGTGGGGTGCAAGGGTCGGCACTCTTGGAGGCCCGGAGCGTCTGGTGGACGCTAATGTAGCCTCGGGAGTGGCAGAGGAGGTCGGCGTCACTGCTGGGGGAGTGAGGCATAGAGGGCGAATCACTGTCGTCAAACACACTCGAAGATGTGTCCGGATCAGGTTCAATCCTGGAAAACAAGTCAAAGACATTTATGTAGGGTTACTGTGTTAAGTAGATACTGAAATTATTGGTGATGACTACCAAGATCTTTCACTCACTCATGCATCCACTTACATCCCGATACAAGTGTAATTATTGTGAACGTGACTCTAGATTGAGTTTCACTCCAACACTAATAAAATAATTGAATCCCCTTTCTCCACATCATTGAGACCTGAGAATCGTATCACCACCACATCTGAGATCAGCTGCTATACTTACACAACATCATTTGCTAGTTGTTTGAGAATCTTATCTGCAACCTCTGGGCTCGTTTCCATTAGCAACCGTATAACATCATCATGCAGATCAGGCGAAATCTGAAATAAAAGAAGACCAGTTAACAACAACCATCAACATCAGAATACAACAGGCTGTTATGATCTTGTTTATGAATACGATTAAAAAAATGAAATGCTAAAACTTCATACATCAAATTTGTTTTCAATATCAATTTGAAAATAATATTTAAAATAGTATATTTAAATCATGTATCTAACAAACTACCTTACATTTTGAAAAAATGACTATTTAAAATTGGAATTTTATAATTTCTTTCAACTTATGCACATGGTTTTTAGTAATGCCTAATGCTGAATGACCATAACCTGAATGAAACAATATCTCACTACACAATGAGTGAGTGAGTTAAGTTTTATGCCGCACTCAGCAATATTCCAGCTATATGGCGGCGGTCTGTAGATAATCGAGTCTGGATCAGACAATCCAGTGATCAACAGCATGAGCATCGATCTGCGCAATTGGGAACCGATGACATGTGTCAACCAAGTCAGCGAGCCTGACCACTCAATCCCGTTTATACAGTACACAGAGTTCAATAATCTAAATTATCTAGAAATGTTCCACCTGTCATGTTATAACTTTCAGCTCACCTCATACAACTGACGATAGCCATCGATCATCTCCTTGACGACCTCTATGACCTCCTTGCTCTGCTCCGCATGTTCCGTTGTTTCCACCCGGAACTCCTTGTCCGGTGACGACTTAGCTTTGTGGAGAATGTTTGGTCCAAACAATGTTGCCAGATTATGGGAGTCCATCTTATTCCCAGAGAGCTAGTGAAAGACAATAAATTAGTATCATTTGATCATGTTACCAGTGCATATACCATTTGCGAAAAAACTTTTCCTGTGATAGACAACATAGATTAAGTCATAATTAAAGAAAATAACATTGTGAGGAAATCTGTTGAAATGGAATGAAATCTAGGATGTATTAAATGTGATTGTTGTTTATTTTGTTGTAATTTTATCCATTTTCATCATTTCAATACACAATTTATCAAGCTTTTGTTCCATTGGTACAAGGTAGCTTGAGAAGCCTTTCAGCCTTTAAAATCTTTAAGTGGGAACAGAGTTGTCTCCCTTAGTACAACAACCGATCAGCAAACTTTAAGCTATTACAGTCTGTGCCGTAATTGTATCTCTTTAACTCAACCTAATATCACATTTGACATATAATGTTAAGTTCCATAACAAAGACAGACTACTCTGCAGTTGTCATTCAGAGCTGATGTTTGTCAGTTGAGATTGTGAAGCAGAAATTGGTTCTCCCTTTTGATACAACATACCTCGTTTCCATGTTCATCTATAGTATCTTTGGAATGTTCGACAACCTTTGCCAGGAACCTCAGCAGTGCCCAGAATGTGTCACGATTTGGCAGTGGCAGTAACGACACAAGCAACCTCAAAGCTACCAACCGCTTCTCTACATCTTTTAATTCTGGAAGGTAACACAAAGAAGGTTAAATAGAAGTTCAAAAGGCATTCCTCACAGAAGAAGGACCCAAAAATGTTTCAGGGTGATACTGTTTTCCTTGCAGCTAATAACATATGCACAAAATTGTCAACAATGTTGAAAAATATATTTCATCAAAAAGCTGTTATTAAACAAATTGTGGGTGAGGGAGGGGGTAAACACAGCTATGATCCGACAGTATGAGTCAATCATTACATGTTTTGAGAAGAAAAGTCAAATAAATGAATAAATTACTGTATTGGTAAAGTTCCTAAGCACCAGACCAAGTGTATAAATCAGAGCAATTCTGTTATTTGCACCATAACTGCAAATCCTAGCATGACTAAGGGATATAACTCTGTACATTGGGTTACAGTGCATTAAACACTGCCCATCAGTGCCCCCAAACCAACAATAAATCAAACCTCAGTTATCCAAATTATCCAAATGCAACTAATGTTTTATGCAACAAATTTGTAATGTGACTGTCATGTGACCTACTTCTGGTGGAGATGAAAGGCGTGTACAGATCCCGAGTGAGGAGTGGCTCTGGCAGATCCCGAAAATATTCCTTCAGCAACGCCTCAACGTCATGAGGGTTGTGATTTTCATTTAACGTTATGCTCTTCCCACTATCAAATTCTTCTTGTAACTGTTTCACTCGCTTCTTGGATGAACCAACACGAAAAATACCAAGCACTTGCAAACCTGAAACAAAAAACATAATTCTTACTGATCGTATTGCATGTCTAATGTGATTAGTTGATGGGAAAGCTTTATCGTATCACTGGACATAATTTCAGTGGTAGTTTTACAGGTTTGAAATGGAAATACCATAAACATTCAAATTAGGAATACAGCTTGTTTGTTATTTAATATTCCTAATGTATTCAATACAAACATATGCTATAATTACAAGCCTATTTACGCTTTTTTGTCTTTAAGTTAAAGGTACCATATGGCTCAGATTCTGGTTTCCAAAATCAAGGGCAGGTAACTCTGAATACTATCTATCCATAAAAAAGTGTTTCCTCTTCACTATCTATCACAGATGAAAGTTCGGCAGTAGAGACATTACATGATGGCAGCCTGAATAACTGAACCTAGAATCGGACAAATCATTGATTGAGACTATTAGCAGCACTGGAGGTCATCAAGGCACTTGACCGGTCAAGAAGCCCGACCACCCATCCACTTAGTTGCCTTGTAAGACAAGCATAGGTTACTTGTGTGATACTCTAACAAGAGACCGCTTCCGTGGTGTAGTGGTTAGAGCGTCCGCCCGGAGAGCGGAAGGTCGCGGGTATGATCCCTGGCCGCGTCATACCAAAAGACGTTTAAATATGGTACTTGTTGGTCCCTGCCTGGCGCTCGGCATTAATGGGTACAACAAGGACTGGTTCATGCTTCACTGCGGCATGGTATCTCAGCTTAAGTCTGGGCTAGTACAAGCAGCCGCACATACACATACACACGCATGCACGTCGTCATATGAGCGAAATATTCTCAAGCACGACGTTAAACCCAATTTCACCTCACCTCACCTCTAACAAGACCCACAGGGTTTATGTTTACTACAACTAATGAAAGAGAGCGAGCACGTTTTGGAATAACACCTCAAGAGCTACAAACACACTTTTACACAAAACGTTGATGAATTACTTCAGACAACACTTTTCTCCTTTTTGCCAACACTAAATCTGGAACTAAATCAGTATATGAAAACTTCAGAATGAGATTCCTCCCTAACTGTATGACAACTGATCCTCACCATAGGTTTCTATATGTTTAAAACAGGAATTGACTATCTGAGGAACTTGAGGCGCTCCCGTGGCGTAGCAGCTTTGGTTATCTCCCCTTAGTTCTGACTGCGTCGAGGCAGGCTGAGTGAGAGACAGGGAGAGGGCATCGATGAGACTAGAACTTGTGTTTCTGCTACTTTCCGATTCCGACAAAGAATCTGAACTTCCTCGTCTCTGAAAAAAAGCATATTGACACATTAGTAAAATCAAAAAACTTCTCACTCCTTCCCCAATGCCAGAACAGTACAAATGAATTTTCTTCTGCCAAAGCAAGATAATTTTTTTTATCACTTTAATTCTTTCTTGTAGGTATGATAACTGCAACACTATATTGTATTTTTATTTATTTGTTTCTTTTTTATTTATTTTGTTATTTACTTGTATTTCTTTAAGTATTGGACTAGATGTAAAACTAGTTTTATGACTGAATTTCAGCAATGTGTTTATTTCTGTAACCGCAAAAATAACTTGTAAAAGTACACTTAAGCACTTTTAAACATTTCAATCATTTCATGCCTAATTATTAACTTCGGATCTATTTCTAAATAACTTCCTCAACCCAAAACCAAATTATCCCTAATTAGTCAATAAGTTATCTATGGAATTTCATGACATTCAACCATAAGATAAATCCAAGTAACCAGGTGTCCTGTCAATATTCACTTGAGGTCCTTGACATATTTTAGCCCCAAAATGGAGGCCATCTGTCTAGGTCAAGGGAGATAACTCATCTCCATGCATTCCACAGACAGAATTCACAGGTGTAAGATTGAGTAATCTCTGCTATCTGTCGTGTATATCATGCTTCAGCGACCAACTTGATGGGCATATATAATATGCAATCACTTTATGAGATCTTACTGCAAGTGATGTGAAACAGCTCCAGGCAAAGCACCTGGGTAATCAGCTACCAGGACTATAGCCTAATAAGTGGTTAATAATCACAAATATTTAAAGACTTCCTTTACCCACTAGAAACATTCCATAAATATTACTGATTTCTCTAACAGTTGTGACTGTTAGGAATGTACAAAATATTTATTGAGTGCATATTTTCAATTTACATTTCCGATGCCAAGTGGCTTAGGAATTCACAAAATGTATTAATTTCACAGTTTTAAATTTGGATTTTGTAAGCTGAATTTGGTAGGGGTTTTCATTCACGTTTACTGAAGTTTCAAGATAACATAGTTTGAGCACTGGGAAGGATTATTTCAAAAGACAGGATATGCTTAACGATTTAACATGTTAATAAAGTTTGAAATTCGGATAGTGTCCATTTATACATGTATGTTAAACATGTGGAAGCAGTTATGTCATGGCCGTATAATTTTATAAGAATCTTTCCTTGTTTTACAACCATTTTAGATATTCCTTCATTTCCTGGGTGACAGGAAGTTGCATGCTTACCCCATGAGAAGGATTGTGGGATATTGTGCTGCCGTTGTGGGGAACATTGTCCAGAGAGCTTTGGGAGGAACTACTTGACTTTCTGGAAATAAAAACATTTGTACATTAGACATAGTACATAAGAATGTGTTAAAACATTTCATTCACTCACTCACTCACATTTCAATCTAGTTCTCCATCAATATTCTTCCTTCTGACCAACCAGTCAAAGAAAGAAAGGTACTGTTAAGTCACACAGAAATCATCCACAATGCAGTATTAATGGCGACTCACCTCTGACCATGGGGAGACAATAATACATCAGCACTTTCACTGCGGACCTTTAACGACGCTGATGTACGACAACTTTGTCTTTTATATATTTCTCTGTCATGAGCGATACACTTTGACAGTGGAATTCCAAACACCATTCCATCTGAAACAAAATATGTAACAATGTTAAAACTGAAAAAGACTTCAAATGCTTCTGATTGGCATCTAGAACACTCCCCCGCCTTTTCAATATTGTCAAATAATCTTTGAATATCAAGCACAGTTTGTACTAAACATGCCAACGCAGAGTCACACAAAAGTGTGACAAAATGTCACTTCAATAAACTTTCCTCAAAATGACACCAGTGAGCTTACTTAGCCATAAAGAGAGATACTATCCAGTACATCGGTATATATCTGTAACTAGCCATTTCTAAAAATTCTGCGATTGCTCCACAGATAATTTTATCCCACCTTTGTTTCCCAATTTCTCACAATCCTTAACAAACAACAACCTACTTTATTGCGTTGATACATTTGAATCCCACTCTCTCTACCCAGTCACGTTTCTACAATCAAATTACCAATACTCTGAAGCATGTGTCATCAGATAGCTAATGAAAAGCTTCAAGTCATGATAGCAATTTCTAAAGTCCAATGGTTTACCATCCGCAAAACATTTATTTGATTTAGAAAAGATATGACTCGTATCACCACGTTTCAGAGTTACCAAGTGCTTTAATATCACAATGTACTATTAGTCATAACTGGCAGGCGTTATATGCTATATTTCCACCTGCCTACAAGTCATAGCATGTGTCTGTTTACATCCTAGCATTCTACTCACTCAGCTTCTTAAACTAATTCCCTATTTGACGATTACAATACATTATCCCGACCCTCTCACAAGATCCCTTCTAATGGCAATATAATGATTCAACAGGAACCCCTGCTTGGTTAACCATCACAGTAGCAAGTGGTGGTCTACCGGAGTTATTTTTCAGTGTCACTAGGTCGTGGCAATCCCTGACAGACTGTACTTTTTCAACGTCACATAGCAGTGATGACCTCATTGTTTATCTCAGCAAGGGGTCTATCTGAAATCCAGTCAGTTTAAGAATACAGCTGAGCATATGTTATCATTGTATGATATTGTGAAACACAGCCGTCACGTGAATCGGTCATCATTGTTCTTTACAACTACCAACCACTGACTTACATAGCAGGGAGGACAGTGGCAATATAAGGTTTTATATGTCCCTGAATGAGTTATCAGATAATATTTCCAGTTCATATAATTATTAACAATATAACTTAATATTATTTTTCATGGCGTCAACATTTCAGATTCATATCATTATTAACTATATTACTTATTATTTGTTTCATGTTAGATGTGGGGCGGTAGGGTAGCCTCGTGGTTAAAGCATTCGCTCGTCACGCCGAAGACCCTGGTTCGGCTCCCCACATGGGTACAATATGTGAAGCCCATTTCCGGTGTCCCCCCCCCGTGATATTGTTGGAATATTGCTAAAAGCGGCATAAAACTATACTCACTCACTCATGTTAGATGTGGAAGGCACTACTCCAGAATCATATCATTCTTAACAATTTTACTTAACATATATTTTATATTGTTTTTAGTAACATAATTTCAATTTGCATAAACTCTCATCAAGTCAGTGAGTTTGATTTTACTATGCTTTTAGCAATAGTCCAACAATATCACTGCGGGGTACACCAGAAATGGGCTTCACACATTGTACCCTTGTGGGGAATCGAACCCAGGTTCCGGAGTGACGAGCAAACGCTTTAACCACTAGGCTGCCCCACCACCCCGCTTGTCCAATAAAGCATAAAAATATATTGAGAACTTTTATGGAATATTGAGAACCTGAAACCACATTAATAAAAACAAGTATGTGACTTGACCTATGTCCTCAATCCCATAGTACATTGTGTAAATTGATCTGACAGCATACAATTGATACAATATCTCAAAGTTAGCCAGCCATTTCAAACAAGAAGGTACCATATTCACTGTAAAAAGCGCCATGAGCTTACAAAATTTACAAAAGTGGGGTACTTGTTATAAGTGAGTTATAATTATTTGTATTCAGATCCTTTCTAGATCCACTGATAGTTATGTTGTTCAATGGTGTTACTCTGTCTCACAGTCCCTGAACCACATTATTTTCCCTACTGCCTGGCCCTCTCTGGAGTGCTAAAGCCCTATAGGAAGAAAATCTAGATATCCCTAGTCTGTCTCACAGTCCCTGAACCACATTATTTCCCCAACTGCCTGGCCCTCTCAGGAGTGCTAAAGCCCTAAATGTAGCAAATCTAGATTTCCTCAGGTTCAGGAATCTCTGGTCTCCCTGGGTCTCCTTTTAATTTAAATGGGTTTGTGTGTTACTATCAAAATTATATATATATTCAGTGAGTAAGTGAGTGAGTGAGTTTAGTTTTACGCCGCATTCAGCAATATTCCAGCTTTATGGCGGCGGTCTGTAAATAATCGAGTCTGGACCAGACAATCCAGTGATCAACAGCATGAGCCTGACCACTGATCCTGTTAGTCACCTCTTATGACAAGCATGGGTTACTGAAGATCAATATTCTAACCCGGACCTTCACGGGTAATATATATTCTGAGACTAAACATTAGTCTATGGTGTTATTTGAGATACATTGAACAGATAACTGACAGCAGCTGTTCTGTTCAATGCAGAGCATGGAATGATGATGTTACATTTTCTAGGTTATGGCTGGACACCACTCATGTCACAGAAGGTCCCAGGAAACAATATAATATATGCTATGTTCTGGTCGCTAAACATTTTCATTAATATATTTGCCTCTGCCATCAATATGTGTCTCATATGTCAGTACGTACAAAATAAAGTTAATTTGTTTTTACATATTTTCTTCTTTAAACCACCCACGCAAAGTATTTTTTTAGTTAAAAAATGTTAACAAATGAATATATTCAAGATTTATATATACCAAAGTGAAACAAATTTATGCTGAAGGTGAAAAACATGGACAATACAGGTAATAAAACTTTAGGTAAAACTGAAAAAAAAAAAAAAAGTAAAAGTGTGTTTGGTCTGATTGATTAAGATTAGTCAGGAAAAAGGAAACTACATTTTTATTTTGACCTGATAAATACACCATACAGTTAAATTATTAAAGAGTCGCATTGGTTTTGACGAATACTACATAGAGACATGGTTGCATAATACACTATTTTTTTATTATAGTGGTCAGTCTTAGTAAACTTAGCCTCAGTATTATTCGTTACCTTAGTACTGAGACTAAGTTTACTTAGACTGTTATAGTGGTTTAATAATATATTACGATTTGTTACCTATTTCAAGAGGCAATATAACTTAATTTCAACCTCTAGAAAAGCATCCCCACTTCTTGGATACGCAACTGATGTGAAATATGCTCATATAATGTAGAAATTGTATTTGAGACTCTCCCTGGAGGAGACGGTGTGATTTATTGAGGTATATTATATATCCATGACATAAAAATGTTTATCACTGTGCATAAAGCGTAACCCAATCTTATATTCACTGTGTGGAATACAGTGACTAAACTCACCAGAATAATACCATTAAGTATTAAATCAGAAGTGTAATTGAAATCTGAGTAAAGTTTAAGTTATAAAATATTTCAGGAATTTATGATATCTTTGAAATGTTCCAGATAAGACAGACAAAAACAGCATAGATAAAATTCCATAGTTCACATTATCATTTTGGTCCCTAAGTAGAGAGATGACATATTTTGCCCTGAAATATATTTGCCATTCACAAAATATTCAGATTTAATGTGATTGATTATATATTATTCATATAAATCACAGAAAATGCATTGTGATATGCTGTACAGCATGTCAAGAAATATTAAAATATTTTCACAAGAGAGGACTGAATGATAATTCAATCATAACAGAAACTTTTCAATTTCAATCTAAAAATTATGCAAAGTTAATTAAAATTTAACGTCGAAAATATTAAATAAGAATGTAGAATATGTGTTTATTCATTAGCAGACATAAAAGGGAAACTAGGCATAGTTTATTTGCTTATCGTATACATTTTGATTGACATATGTGTGAAGACCATTTCTGTTGTGCCCTACAATGAAATTACTGGAATATGTCTAAAAGCCTCACTCACTCACTCTCTGTCATAAATGGTTTAAAACTCTACCTGTACCACATGAGATGGGACACAAGCTGATTTTGTCGCCATTAAGTTTTTAATGTTCTGCGGAGTTGCCGTAAGCATGACAGTGACATCTCAGTCGAAAAGAGATTAATCATGCTCTTCAACACCTCATTAATTCTTTCCCAAACCTTTACCAAGAACAGAAACTCCTCACACTGTCCTTGTAAACAGCTGAATGTGAATGTAAATCACTTGACAAGTCATGATTACTTAAATGTTATGTGTTACAATTTTCTAATTGAAAAAAAGAAAAGAATGAAATCTGCACTTTCACACCAACGACAACACTAACTGCATTTGAGCAAAGAATATTCAACAAATATAAAATTATCTGAACTAAAACAGAAAAACTGTTTTGAGATTTTCATCTTTACAAACAGTTTCATCATGTTCATAGACAATATCATCAAAATAGATGGAGTATATTGCCTTCCTGGTCAATAAATATATTACATACCTCTAGTCAATAAACATATAATATTACCTATCTAGTCAAACGTGAACCCATCCCTCCTATTAGCTATGTAAACACAGTAAACACTGTAAACATCTTTCAGCCGACAAGGTCAGTAGTTCCAACCCTCGGTTTGTACATGACCTACATTCTCCTACATGAAGCCAGAATTCTATTATTATTCCGGAATTTGGTCAAGGGCTGGAGCTCTATACATACACCATATCTATATTTACTACACACCTGTACATCTAAATGTTACTCGACACCTTTAGACTACAAGTCTTTTATGACCAATACAAATGTGTTGGTTGATACAGCTGACATAAAATGTTTTATCTGAGTTACAAAACTTTTTCTTGGTTATTCAAACGGAACAGTAAATACAAAAGTGAGATATACGTAAAAGCTTTTTGAGAAACATCAACAACTGATTGTGATATATTTTCTCATACTAGAAAGGTTGACAACCACAATGACACATTTAAGAGTTTTTTAACCATAGTATAGCTTTAACCTTAAATCACATGCATTTACATGTATTTGACCGTTCATTTCTTGTGTATATATTTCAATACTGTATAAATATCCTATATTGATATTTATCTATACCTGTTTAGGGCCCAATATTTCCCCAATTTTGCAGCAAATGACTGTTAAAATACAAACGATTTCCCCAATGATGTTATAAAGCCATACTAATTTGTATTTCACCAATTTTAGCTAAAACAATATTTTGTTATCAAAATGCCTGGCAAGGGATACTTCACTTGGTATCCTGGATAGTTTAACTAAAATTACCTGTGTTATTTGGACTATTTTTCCACTTTATTCATGTTTTGTTCCTATACATATCTCCATATTGGTCACTGGACACATAACTTATAACATATGCAAATATTCCCGACAGTTTCAATTTTGTCAGGGAAACTATGGTTAGATGAAATCACTTCTATTCTAGTGTACAGGGAGTGTCAAGATATAGTCAAGGTATTTTCAAAACACAGGTGTCATAATTTACGTTGAACACTTTCAAATTTTGCTTTCAACCTTTGGACGTGATCAAGATGCAAACACTACAAGTTGACCTCTATTCACCTCAGATCAAGCCAGTGGCATATATTCTTCATATCAGGATAGCCTGAGGATTCAGGGATAGGGTGGATATTGTTCGTATCACACCATCTCGACAAGAGGCTATCCGTGGGGCCAGTCTGGTCCTCTCTTTGTGTGGAGGTGTATGACTGATTTTCAAGAGATCTTTGAGATTAAAGTGGATTAAAATATGGATTATCATGGATTCTGGAAGTGCAAGATTTTGAGGTGAATCTGACGCCAACTGATAGAGCATGCCTGACCAGGGTCAAACGTTGACATGAAAGTTTAAACTGTTGACTGAAGGAGGAAAGTGTTTATACGGATTAGTATGGGTAGATACCACAAAGGTTGCGATATGTTGTCATACCAGGTTTCTGTTTCTAGTATCTGCAACGTCTTGACTTACCAAAAGAGAGGGTTAGATCAAACTCATTGGTCACTGATTTCTGACTAGTGAACAAACATTACTAAATTATTGTGGAAAACATTTCCAGATCTTCACTAATCTTGCAACTCACAGCCTTGTGGAATGTGTACAGCAAAATCTCATTAGAAATAAGAAAATTTATTTAATATTCCTGATAATTAAAATAATGAAAATAATAATAACAATGAAAAGTTTCCAATATTCTGTCAACAAACAAAATAGTAAATATAAAGAAGGATATATTAATAATTTTTAAGTATTTAAGGTATATACACAGGAACACATTTCTTGGAGGTCAAGGATAAGTCTATCAACTAGCTCCGGTCATGATATCACTCAGGTTAAGTTGGCCAGGTAGGGTTATGTGACATGACAGATCCACCCTGGAGCTAATTCTATTTCAACTGCCCATAACTCCTGGAGTTTTGCCCAGAGTCAATGTGGGGGTGGATGTTTTTGACCTATATATTGACTTGGGAGTGTCAGGTTGCTCTTGAATGAAATACCACATCAATACCATAAACATGATAAAGATATACATTATTTATCAGTCGTTTTGACATGAAATATGGTCATATCTATTTATAGCTGAATTATTCATGTTTTACATTAAACATTTTTTACATGTTTTTTCATTATTTATATTTTATTACAATGCTTTGTTTCATTCAGAGGATACTAATGCCTTGTTTGTTTTCAAGTTCGGTCAATTTAAATCAAATATGTTGTTTGATAAATATTTACAAAATTCCTTATAAATATTCATGTTTTCCTATTTAACTTTATAAATAACTGACAACACCAAAAGTTTGGATATCAATACAAAATATTCATTCATCCAAAAGAAATCTGTTCAGAAAACCAATGAATGTCTAGGATACTAGAAATTACAAAATGATTTAACCACAATAATATTCTGAATAAATCCAATAAATGTACTTAATGTCTCGCGGCACACCACATTATAACAATTACACACATTGTAATGCAAGAACTTGAACCATAACATCCAGTCAATATAACATTGGTAGCAGTCATGTGGAAAATAGCTTCTATCTCCAAGGTCAGAGGATGACTTGGGTACTGACATTTCTCATGCACCACTGACCATGCTGTAGGCGTGGCAGGTTGTTGTTTGAAATATAACGCACCCCCTATAGAATAAGTTTCAATCACACACCAGGTCCTTCTATAAATCTGCAGCCTCTCTTTCATTATGGTGCCCTTTGAGCCTCTGTTTCATTCTATCCATATCAATAACTGTCTATTCAAATAGGTCTTCTCAGTTAGACCAGGGTATATGACAGAAGCATAGATAATGGTAATTGTGTAGTTGAACTATTTCAATGGTGTTTATTACAACCAGGTGTAGGCCTTTTTACATATTTGTTTGGTGATTACAGGACAATATATCTTGTTACCATATTTGGAACTTTGCAGAAACCTGTTTATTATTTTCTCAATAAACTGCCTTTCAGGGATACACATAAAGGCATGAATTTATGGACCATTCAACTGATGAAGGAGTAAGAATATACTCCGAAGTGGTTTCTATCAAAATAGAGAAGTTGACATTCATAAATTCTTGCCTTTCTGTTTTTCAAAACTGATGTCTATGTTGTTTCTTTAAAATATTGCAAATTTATTTTTACATGAAACTTATTGCCTGAACAGTTCGGTGAAATGAAGAATTTGATTTTAAATCAGTTTCAAGACTATATTATCATCTATTATACAAGTGTCACATACTATCTCCTCATGCAACATTGTTATTCTTTCAAAATCCAAATGCTTGAAAGTAAAGGTGCAATATTCTGGTACAACGAAACCAACCTTTTGGGTTTGAATCCTTCTGTTTTTCTTTCTCAGCTAGAGTGTCCAACAAACCAGCCAGGTTGGCGGACTTTGACCTTCGTTTCAGTGACAGCACTTTCTTTGACCTCCGGTTGTCATCAGAATCTCCTGGAAATAGAATAACATGTGCTCATAATATATATAACTATATAACATGATGATACTTACAACCTAAAATAAACATGGTTCACAGCAAATATGTTTCCCTACATCCCTACCAGGCGTTATGTCTCCTCATCACTCTCAGCTTAATTCATAATGTTTCCTAATTTTGTCCTCAGTTGGTTGGTTGGTTAATTCATGGGCGGATCCAGGAATTTTGAAAGGAGGGGGTTCATTTTCATAAGGGGTTGGGGGGGGGTGGGGTGGTGTGTGTGTGTGTGTGTGTGACCAGTATCATGAGCATCCATCTATGCAATTAGGATTTCGTCCAAAGTATATACCTAAAGGTGTGGTGTTGGTGGGATTGAGTTGGTGTGCCTGTGAGAGAGAGAGAGAGAGAGAGAGAGAGAGAGAGAGAGAGAGAGAGAGAGAGAGAGAGAGAGAGAGAGAGAGAGAGAGAGAGAGAGAGAGAGAGAGAGAGAGAGAGAGAGAGAGAGAGGGGCGGGGGAAGGTGGTTACGAACTAACATTTAATGAGCATGTGTATACCTTTTCGCACTTATATTTAATATATTTTTAACATTCAGGTTTTTCTCTATATATACAAATGGGGTAAATCATCCCTACAAATAAATACCATGGAAAGTTAGCAGTTCTCAACATTCGTGGATGACGCACAGTCTCCACAGATGTAAGCGCAGTGGACTGTGACATGTGACATACTTCGCCCGCTCCTATTGGTTCACTGTTGTTTCGACCATCACTGCCATCTATCGGTAAAAACCATTACACCATGCCCGAGGGAAAACATATAGTAGACCTACTTTAATACTCCACATATTTTGTCACACGACATCAAAGACAATGTGTAAATCGATGAAATAAAACATAGCAATAAAACATATTGTTTATATTCATGAATTATTGACAACTGTTTCTGAAAATGTTTCAAGAATCTACTCGAAGTCGGTGTCTAACTTATGGAATACAATGCACCATAAAGATATGCATTTTCGACAATTCTGAAATACTAATACTGTTAATCAAGACTACAAATACAAGGTAATTGTTCCATGCGATCAAGTTATTAAAATTGACTAATATTAAATACACATGACACATTATGTGTGAGTATCAGCACAATTTATACAGTCAGGAGCCGTACGGAAGCCAAGTGGTTAGAACGTTCGCCCGTCACGCCGAAGGCCCTGCACCGGTGCAGCTGTACAAAGCGATCTTAGTGCTAAGATAATCGTAACTTACGACAGTCGTAGAGCTAAGACTGCTTTGTACAACGTTACCTTGGGACCCGATCCACAAACCGTTCGTAACGTTACCACCTGTCGTGATTCCCATATCTTAACATACACTTTCGACTGTCGTAGAGCTAAGACTGCTTTGAACAACGTTACCTTGGGACCCGATCCACAAACCGTTCGTAACGTTACCACCTGTCGTGATTCCCATATCTTATCATACACTTATGACTGTCGTAGAGCTAAGACTGCTTTGTACAACGTTACCCTGGGACCCGATCCACAAACCGTTCGTAACGTTACCACCTGTCGTGATTCCCATATCTTAACATACACTTTCGACTGTCGTAGAGCTAAGACTGCTTTGAACAACGTTACCTTGGGACCCGATCCACAAACCGTTCGTAACGTTACCACCTGTCGTGATTCCCATATCTTATCATACACTTATGACTGTCGTAGAGCTAAGACTGCTTTGTACAACGTTACCTTGGGACCCGATCCACAAACCGTTCTTAACGTTACCACCTGTCGTGATTCCCATATCTTAACATACACTTATGACTGTCGTAGAGCTAAGACTGCTTTGTACAACGTTACCTTGGGACCCGATCCACAAACCGTTCGTAACGTTACCACCTGTCGTGATTCCCATATCTTATCATACACTTATGACTGTCGTAGAGCTAAGACTGCTTTGTACAACGTTACCTTGGGACCCGATCCACAACCCGTTCGTAACGTTACCACCTGTCGTGATTCCCATATCTTAACATACACTTATGACTGTCGTAGAGCTAAGACTGCTTTGTACAACGTTACCCTGGGACCCGATCCACAAACCGTTCTTAACGTTACCACCTGTCGTGATTCCCATATCTTAACATACACTTATGACTGTCGTAGGGCAAAGACTGTTTTGTACAACGCATCCCTAGTTCCTATCCTACGCGAGCGCAACGCAGTGTCACCAAGGTGATAATGCAGGAACATTAAAAGCGGCCTAAAACATTATTCAATCATTCTTGACCAAACGAGTCAAACATGTTTTGGGTCCCAAGACGCATAATATATTCCAGATCCTGCCCATTCAACCATGCTTTAAGGTGGAAAATAGACATCATTTTCGGGAATACGTTACTTTTTACAAAACAGAAATATCAAATGATCGGTCCATTTACTCCGTGGCAGTCAAAATGGCCGCTAAACGCAGGTTTTCTGTAGACGTCAAAAGATATATCAAAAGCCCTTGATTTTCATGAGGCCAAAATACCGTCATGATAAGCGCCCTGCTGGGCTGGACAGTGCAGGTCCGTGAAGATGACCAACACCGACAAGCCATACATCACCCCAAATATCTTCCCTGTTTACCACAAATCACGACCCATTGTTGGGCACCCGGTGAGTAATTCTCTGCAATCCCCAGGTGTATGGGCCGTGAAAGTATGCTCGACGAACATGCAGTCATGCAAAAGAACGCTCAGGGAGAAGAGCAAGAGAGATAATTCACTATACTTAAGCCCTCTTTCATCTTACCACTTCTACATTTGCGCCCAAACAGAACTAATCTTCTTTTTAAAAATAAAAAAAAAAAAATAAAATTCGGAATAAATCACGAGAAACCGACATACCTGCAAATGTTCAAGGCTAATTTGAGAACACTTAGTCATAAATTGTAAACATACTAGTGAGAATACTAACGTTTCACTACTTACGCACTATTTCGAAACGCTTGGTTGATAAGAAACGATTTGAAAGAAATGATCGTGATGTTATGGTCCTGGAAATTGCTCCAGTAAATTGATGCTGTCGTTTGACGTATGGTTTGCATGGCTCAAACGTCACCGTGCTTATTAGAATGTGAACATTCTGAAAACATCATTATCTAATTATTTCCCAACGTAAACAATCATTGGTGACTAATACATAAAAAAACAAAGTTGTTTCCAAGGTGCGTACGTCTATATTTGAAATGGCCCCTTTGAAATCGAGGCCAGTGGGACGGGTTGGGGTATTTCATCTAGAGTACGTTCCATATGAAGCCTATGATTGTGGGTTGGAATCCTATTTCTCCCCGATTATGTTCCTGAGTTTGTCCACACAATGTCAAAGACCTGCATCAATTCGGGCTCTCCTCCCTCATCCCAGAACTCACTCACTCACTCTATATTTTGAAATCCTGATGTGTCGTAAGTAAAGCTCGGAATCAAAGGTAATATTTGAATACATTCTGGATCACTGACTTCCATGACAGTTAAGACACATTCCAAACTTTCCAGACACCCATTCTTTCGGGATAATCGTCTTCGAGACACAAAAATAATGCCTGCTCTATCCGCCATTCAAAGACCTATGTCAAATTCTTCAAAGCTGCTTCCTGAAGGCGTCACGAATCCTGAAACATCCACAGCTGTGATACTTTGTCATCTACGAGAACTGACACGATTAAGCTAAGAATATTTATACCAAGTCATTTGTTAAAGGAAACGCTGATATATTTCTTAAAACAACGTGGTTGCTGAAAAAAGCAGCATTTGCCGACATCTTGTCTTTTCGCCTTCCTGTCGCCCGGTGACAAATCATCTGCATGGCTGTCCGAGATGAGTACGCCAGTCGAAATGATGACAGTTTTAAAACCATAGACTATTTTCAGCTCCTTTTTGACACTGGAACCACCTTTTTGACTAATTTTCATTCCGTGACGTTTTAACGTCTTCCTGTTCTTTAGCAACTAAAGGAGACCATCCTTTGTAATTCTGTCACCCTGACAATGTGTTCATAGAAATGTTCATTTTTTATTAAAACAAAAAATTAAAACCGAATATCTGACATGATATGTTAAAACAAGAGTAAGATATTTGGAAAAATTATTTGAAAAAATAGCGTTAATAATAACTTAAGACAAGAACTTCCTTGTGTTCATACGCGGACATTATTCATCCATTACCATATAAGGATATCAAAGGAGCCCGTACGAAATATAGTCCCTATCGATAGTTCTCGTTTGTGTGTACGTATATAATTTTTTGTGTGTGTTTCGAAAAACCTAAACAGGTGTTAACATGCAGAGCACTGACATACCGGGAGAAACACGCGTTATTCTAACAAGACTGACTGACTGAGTTTGGTTTTAGGCCGCTTTTAGCAATATTCCAGCAACATCACGGCGGGGAAAACCAGAAATGGGCTTCACACATTGTACCCATGTGGGGATTCGAATCCGGGTCTTCGGCGTGACGAGCCAACGCTTTAACCACTAGGCTACCCCACCGCCCCTATTCTAACAAGAACTACAGGGTGAACCATATTAGAGTCTTCCGTGGCACTACAACCGCTCGGTCATCACCCTGTTACTCTCTAATCTTAACCCTTCAGTACATAAAAACGTGGTATTTTAGTCGTACAGGTAACAGACATTAAAGGCTACAACCCACTAGCGCTCATAGGTTAATTGATGTAGACGACTAAATATCACGTGAAAATTCGACCATGTCACGTGATGTATTATCAGCATCATTTAATAAATGAGCCCCAGACATGACGAAACGAATGATGAAGAATTAGACCATTTACGTGGTGTCTGGGTGTACTTAAAAGTACACTGGTGCACCACGTGTGCAGAAATAACACAGCTTGGATCAGTTGTCAGGGTAATATGACAGAAGAGATATGCTGACGATGACAAACACGGACAAGCACCTGCAGCAAATGCCTATACACGTTACGATACACTGATGCGAGGGGTATAGGTCGGGAGCGTCGAAACATTATGCCGCGGAAAGTGACCTACAGGTTCAAAGGTGAAGGTCGCTTTGACTTTTAGGTCACCATTGTGAACATAAACTTTTGCTTTCGTTGTGTCGAGCACCCGTGTCATGAGTTCTAATTGGTGCACATAATGTATGTGTCATTATCTGTGATTCTTCTGACTAGAAGCTTGTAAATGAAAGTATAAAGTATATTCTCTGACGACCACTCTCATTGACATCTAGTTTGACATGAATATTTTACGGTGTCATAATTGTGTCACATGTGAATTTAGGCAATTTTAAAGAAACACCTTTTTATGTCAGACTGCAGCCAAAATACATTGATTTCAAGGAATCTTACAGAGTGTCCGGACACAAGAACGCTGAACAGAGGTCAAGAGTCTCTTTAGTAATCTCCGAGGGACGCAGTTTGAATCCACGAATATGATCCTCCCATATTCGTTCTAGTTGTTCCTTAAACAATTCGTATCCACAACAAAAATACAACAAATATGACAGGTTTTCGTGGTGTCTTTATAGTCTCATCTCCGTCCAAGAAAAGAAAGTAAGAGTCGAGACAAAATGGGAATCGAAACATTTACAAAAGTTATCGACTACTGTTTAAACCGGAAGTCGCCAAGCCTTTGCACAACCGGACAAAAGCATCATATAGAGCCATTTACAGCAATGACCGACTGATCGGAGTCAAAACGGAAATCGAAACATTCACAAAAGCTATCGACTACTATGTTTAAACCGGAAGTCACCAAGCCTTTGCACAGCCAGATAAAAGCATCATTTACAGCAATGACTGACTGATCGGAGAAAAAACGGAAATCGAAACATTCACAAAAGCTATCGACTACTATGTTTAAACCGGAAGTCACCAAGCCTTTGCACAGCCGGATAAAATAACATCATATAGAGACATTTACTGCAATGACCGACTGATCGGAGACAAAACGGAAATCGAAACATTTCACAAAAGCTATCGACTACTATGTTTAAACCGGAAGTCACCAAGCCTTTGCACAGCCGGATAAAAAACATCATATAGAGCCATTTACAGCAATGACCGACTGGTCGTATGTGGACCTAACTTCCAACGTCTAATCCATCTATCAAGACCATCTGCCTTACAACCTATTACTCCATATGCCGTGACGTTCCATCAGCTCATCTCCCACCTGACAGGTGTTGCGTGAACCACGTGGTTGGTAACCCTGCTTGTACGTCCTGATCTATGACCTTGATCCACTGACACGGATGACAGTATCGGCCAGCAGCTTGTACAACCCGTATGTAAGCGTTTCCATCTTGTCATTTGGACAGTTCATCAATAACCTCTTCTCCCACGACATTTATGTGAAGAGACCCCAAGAAGATCCTGTTCTGTGGCCACGGAGTACCTCTCTGAACATTGCTTTCCGTTGGGTTTTGGGACGATTAGGTCGGTTTGGCTACATTTTCATATCCGCAAATTTAAAGCCGCATCAAAGAAATTCTAAGTCTTTGATTGTTGTTGTGTTGCTGGAGGACTGCAGATGAAATTGAGATCTCGGTTCGCTTAATCTAAATTTCCTGCGATTCGAGCTGGGTCTTCTGTGTGACACACGAGCGCAGTAACCAGTATGTCGGGTGATCGTATTCAACACCAAAACGTCTACCTTTTTGTACTTAACCCAGTTCTTGAAGTTTATGACACTACACTTTCCTGTTTACGTAACCGTTCCTCGATAACCTTTGGACGTACACGTGTGATTATAAGTATGCTTTACAAATCATTACACTTTGATATGCCCAAATTTTATACACTTTTTGTCAAAGGTGTGATAAGCCAAGCTTCAAGTAATTACAAAAACGCTTCATCAAAGTACACTAAATCATCTGGTTCGGAGTGAAGAGACAAAATTCTAAACCATAAAGCGTAACACACATCATGACGTTAGACTTATACATATTGAGGTTTACTGTTCTGCACTAATACACATTACCAGAAGGGGCACTTGCCTGCACTTGCCAGCAATACAGTCGCGCCCAGACGTAACTGTCAGCGTGTCATCCCAGTGCGACTCGCTGACGTGACGTAAAAGGTTTAGCTTCTTGAAAATGCTCACTCAGTTTAACCTTGCAGTCACCTCACAATGATATGAATGAATAAACATGACACTGTAATACTATGCGAAATGGTAATTAGTCTATACGTATCCCACAATCCCTTGCGCAACGATGACCCGCCAGTCGTTCGCCATTTTGTTCGTGATGGCATGGGTTTACTGAGGTCAGGGCCAGTGGTTGGGTGGTGACCTTAGAGGCATATATCTTGTTTACAAGAAAAGCTGACAATGGCTTGCTTACTTTTCCGCATTCCTTTCTCAAGTTCAACTGTACGCCCTTGAAGATGAGAAAAGGTAAAAATAACAGAAGAAATATCTAACAACTCATCCTGAATTCTTTGATGTATAGGGGCGGTGGGGTAGCCCAGTGGTTAAAGCGTTCGCTCGTCACGCAAAAACCCGGGTTCGATTCCCCACATGGGTACAATGTGTGAAGCCCATTTCCGGTGTCCCCCGCCGTGATATTGCGGGAATATTGCTAAAAGCGGCGTAAAACCAAACTCACTCACTCTGATGCATATATCTTTCCAATTTATGATGATACACTTGCTATCGCAGCTGCATTTGGCTTACGTGGGGAATGTCAAGTTTAAAACATGTTGCGCTTTCTTAATATTCCCCTATCTGCCTGTCAGCCATACAGACATACCATATAAAAGTGGAATCAAACGTAACACCATAACTCACACTGGATGTGCGTATTAAATGAAACATTACATTCAAAACACAAAGAGAGGTTGTTCTTTATGTAAAAGAGGTCGCATTCTCGGGAAATGATAAATGTTCATGTCAGGGATTAGGTAATACGATATGAAGTATATACCCCAATATAGCAATATGAAGACATGTAATAACTTGACTATGTGATGCATTAGTAGACTTGTCATTGCAGCAGACGAGAGAGGTAATTTACGAGAGAAGGTTGTATTTTAGACATGTGGGTCATCTTAAGCGTCCTGATCTTCCCTCACCACCATGTTGAATTATTATGTGCACGTATCACGCATAGGATGGGCTTTTACTGACTGTCTCGGTTGCCATATCAGGTGACATACAGTGACAATGATTTTGATTGGGATATTTGCTTTTACACGATACAGGGACCCGATTCTCTGAGGCTTATATTCAAATATAATGATTCTGATTACGCCTATCAAACGTTGAGCGGTATATTTTTAACACATAGTAGTCACAGCGTCTGTGTGGGCGGTGGGGTAGCCTAGTGGTTAAGGCGTTCGCTCGTCAGGCCGAAGACCCGGGTTCGATTCCCCACTTGGGTACAATTTGTGAAGCCCATTCCAGGTATTTCCTGCCGTGATAATGCTGGAATATTGCTAAAAGCTGCGTATACCATACTCACTCACGAAGTCTTTGATGTGAAAAAAGGTCCTTTACAAACGATGTTACACGTGGTGACGATAATACTTTTCCACGTAATGTCGCCCGTACTAACTCGCTTTATTGTCCAGGGTCTCATGACTTGAATATGGAACATGTTCGGTTGACCACACTATAGCCTTGGAAAGCCAATACCTTATACTATGCCGTTTAATCTGTTCCCTATGGCGCCAAGAGCATATGCAGATGGCCAAAGTCCCCCACAATGCACCTGGCATCCGGTTTGACCATGGTTTATGTTGTCTTGGAATGAAATCAATGAGAAACATTCACAGTCCAAACCAAGTGCTCAGCATTACTTCCCCATATTGACGCCAGAAATTGCAGAAGGGTCGTCATGTTAGTCCCACTGTGTTTTGAATTATCTCCCTGGACAATAACACGTTGCTTTTATCGACCACCAGGTGTCGTTCGTGGTATCTGTTAGCCATTCGGACATGCCTCAGAGGAAAACATTGAGTGCTCAACACGTGCTTTTCATGTCGGTTTCAATACAGGTGGCGTGGTCGTAATTACTTCGCGCGTGGTCTGGACAAAATGGAACTAATTGGGAGTTTGAAGTGACCACGCTTTTATGTCTGGTCTGGTCCGAACTGACGGCTGTCTGCGCATGACTGCTGCGCCATTCAAGGGATAACGGACTCCATGAATGACCGTCATTGACTTTTCCATACAGATTAATATACATGATGCAGACTATGAACTCATGCTGAGCTCACACAAACATTTGATTCAGGTGATAACGTTAACACGGCCTTAATGAGAATAAACATGGTCACTCTATTTGGGTGTCAGAGAATGACAGTTAGGATATTGTCTGCTGCCTTTGCTGTGTTCAGAACTACACGTGCACGTCCTTGACCCTTTAGTGCAAGTGACCCATGTGACCCAACGCGCACAAGCACACACACATGCAGGCAACCTGGGGGAATATTTCATTAGAGATAGGAAGTGCTAAAATCATTCTTAGTTAAATACACGTCGGAATATAACTGAGTTTCTTTAATTTCATATTTTCCAAAACTTACAGATTGTTAAAGTGGCTTGTAACTCTATGTAGAAGACGTTTTTTTGCCTTGAATAATTTCAAAAGATCAACGCGAGAGAATACTCAGTCTTGTTCATCTGTCGAAACTAATGTCATAGAGTAGAAAGGCAACATTGTCATGACAATGATGTTAATGGAAAACTGAAAAACAGTGTTCACGAAAAGGGTAAGCAAGTCGGACACCTCTTTACGAACAGGAGCCGGAATGCATCCTCAGCAGAAATCATACGAACTATAAGAGAGACGATAGATGTTAGTTTTAAAAAGATCAGTGTTTTCCTTACCTTTTGGAACAGATAAAGGACCAATGTCCATAGACTGAAGTTTGGGTAGGGCTATTTTCTGTAGCGCAACCCTTTCCGCATCCGTCAGTTGGAGTAAACTGACTGGTTTTAGCACTACTTTCCTTCCGCTTACACTGCACCATGTACAAGAACCCTGCAATAACAGAAACAGAAGCATATAACCATGAGTGTCACACAAGGAAGGTACAGCTTCATGAGTACCAACATGACCATTGTTAAGATGATAACTCGCAAGTTAGTCTCATGCAAGGGCCAAGGTGTTATGAAATCTTTAATTAAATTTAAATCGAGTTTAATGCTCGAAAATGAGTTGTAATAAATTAAATACCCCTTGTTGTGAATATGATATGTAAAATATGTCATATACTGCTCTTGCAGCACCATTGGTGGTTTATGATGAAACAAATAAGTATGAAGTTCTGAAAGTCGTAAAGACATGATGATGATGATGATGATGATGATGATGATGATGATGATAGTGATGGTGTGAATAGCATGACTGGGATGTGGTGGTGACCATGATGATGACGATGATGATGATAGTGATGATGTTAATGGCATGAATGTGATGATGATGATGAAGATAGTGATAGTGATGATGATGATGATGGTAATAATTGATTAACTATGTCTGCCAACTGTCTCCTTGTTTATCAATAATGCTATCTCCAGTCCTCTGATCTTCCACTACAGTACTACAATCCACACCCAGTGACAACAGGCCTATTGACAAGGTTATCTGCGACCATCAATCTGGTTACCCAGATGTCCAATCATAATCTCATCTCCCTCACTCACTCTGTCGTGCACTGTTAAAGTTTGCTTATCTTATCTTACATGTCAATATTTACACCTGGGACACGCGATACATCAACGTGACTGTTTGGGAACGCTACCTGCATGGTAACAATATTCATCAAACTAGAATTTCGTCTTGTTTTATGTTCACTGCAACCCATAATGAGTCATTGGTGTTAGATTACTGTAATCATAATTCGTTGATTGACATGCATTAAACAAGCTTCCTTGGATTAAACTTGGTTTAACGTGACCATTACCCCGGCCATTGTGATCGTTTATGTGAAAATCGACCAGCAAACTCAGTCCGGCTATTCGTAGCTTTGGGCAACACCATGAGATGACCGTTCGTTCACGTGAACTTCTAACCTCACGCGACAAGCGGAGTCGTAACTTTAGCAAGGGACATTCTTTGCTGGAGAAACGTGTCCCCTCTGTCCGCCCGGGTCATCTGTTTCAAGTGACACCGGTTTACGAGCAGGAGCCAACATGTATCTTTCACATTAATCCCTCGAGCTATAAGAGTGTATTTGATGTTGGGATGGATTAGCGAGAGGGGGTAACTCAGAGGCAACGAGTTGACCCAAGAGAATATGTTACCAGTTTCAAACAACTAAATTTAGGAGAGCAAGCTTGGGTTGGAGCCATCTAGAAGTGCATTTCAGATAAATCACGGTGCGAGGGCGTACTGGGTAGTAAGTGAGTCATGGGCGGATCCAGGAATTTTGAAAGGATGGGGTTCAGGGGGGTTCGAACCCCCATTGGCTCCGCCAACGCCAAAAAAAAAAAATTCTATGTGATCTTAAGTCATTTTCAAAAGGGGGTTGTTCCAACAGCAAGTGTGTGAGTGAGTTTTTCGCCGTTTTTAGCAATATTTCAGCAATATCACGGCGGGGAACACCAGAAATGGGCTTCACACATTGTACCCATGTGGTAATATGAGAAGTAAGCCACGAAGACCGAGGTCGTAGTCAAAGAGGGAACAAAATTGGTGAAACATAATGTCAGCAAATCTGGGATTTGAACCCTGTAATTGAAGCTTAAACGATACGAGGTCAGCACACATACCTCTCACAAATGTATCGCGTTCGCTTCTAAACACCGCCTACTGTCATATAGTTGTCTCATGTGACGCAATTAACGTGTCGCGTATACAATATCTTAAATCTTGTTTTTCCCAAACTGTTTCAGTTACAACTCAGCAGCGGTTATTGGTTTCTCAGGGAATATCAACACAACAGATCCTAGTGATGGCCCAGTGGGCCAGGTGATTTTCAGATATCAGTTACAATAACTACGATAAATGGATCACCGGACACCTGTTTTGAACTGAGTGTTTTGTTTGACATGACATCAGGTGTAACAATGACTCCATGAAAACTAGGGCACATCATCTCTTTCGTTGTTTAACGCCGCACTCAGAACTATTCTAGCTACATGACAACGGTCATGAAAATAACTGTCTGGACCAGACAATTCAGTGAATGATGTCATGAGCATCGATCTACGCAGTCAGGATATGATGACATGTCAACAAAGTCAGCGAGTCCGACCATCCGATCCATTTAGTATAACCACAAGAGGGCTTTTGGCTAATTTTACAGTGTATATTGAACATTCGTCGGATATTATATTTCCTCATAAAGAATCATTTCTTCCTCCTCATTATCATTTCTTCCTCAATACAGACCGAGCAATTCAACTGGAGGATGCAGATTGAATGTTTAGTAATATGATCCATTCAGGATACTTCCTCTCATTAGAAATCTTAAATCTCTTTCAGTATTTCAACACATTCATAACTCCCAGCATCATGGTGGGATTATATTTCAATTATTTTAAACTCTTTGGTCTTGCGTCCTGTGAAACATTTGAAAAAACCCATTCAGATTCCTTTTGATGATTACTCCATTGTCAGCAATTAGCGTGTCACGTTGTTGTGTCAGCGTTAATTACTTCCTCGGAGAACATGCGATATACACCCCCGATATAAACACAAGCAGCATGGGGTAATGAAGTAATTAGAATACATTACAAACAGTTATCGAATTACTGAACCTTTGTAACAACACGTGTGTTCATTAGGGCTGATTAATGGTCGTGTTTCCCTACACCTGTACCAACAATGGCGGGGTTGTACCTTCAGGCCAAATTCGAATTTACTCTAATTACTTAAACATACGGCATGTAAAAAGAATGACACCCATCTTGCCCGGGGAGGACACTAACGCCTGCATTGACAGACGGCCTGAACTTATGCATACAACGGATTTACACCCTCAGCGCTCTCGGCATGATGGGAACGTTATCTTAACAAATACAATGAAATATGTTTTATCTTCTTTGCTTCGAAAAAGGTGATAACATTCCGAGATATTCCTATGATCATGACTGTTAGCACTTGTTACTCATCATATATATATATGATTCATTATATATCTTGTTTATGTCACCCGTGAAGATCCGGGGTAGAATAGGTCTTCAGCAACTCATGCTTGCCACAAAGGCGACTATGCTTGTCGTAAGAGGCGACTAACGGGATCGGGTGGTCAGGCTCGCTGACTTGGTTGACACATGTCATCGGTTCTCAATTGCGCAGATCGATGTTCATGCTGTTGATCACTGGATTGTCTGGTCCAGACTCGATTATTTATAGACCGCCGCCATATAGCTGGAATATTGCTGAGTGCGGCGTTAAACTTAACTCACTCACTCTTGTTTATGTAGTTTATAGAACATTGTCACTGTTTCTGTATGGAACGTTTGCACAATAAATATTTTATCTATTTAATCTTTATCTTTATCAAACGCGTTCGTGGGTTGGAGATCTTAATTATATACTTTGAAGAAATCAGTTGAAATGCATTAGGCGTTCAGACAGTTGTGCCAGGAATCCCCCATGTTTCAGCTTCCTCAATTATGCTCAGGAAAGGTTAACTGTTCCAGTTTTATCAAAAACTGAAATCGTGTCTTGTTACGGATAACGCATGTAAGTTAGTCAGCACAATATAACCACCCCGAGTAATGGCGTGGTAGGCAGTCATTACTGAGAGCGACAAGCAAGCCCCAGTACCCTAATAGCTGTGGCTACTGCCCAAGTTAGAATGCCACCTAACAATGTCTGCTACATTAGTCGTACATATGCCCTCGGCTAACCTCGGGATTATTTCCATTAAAATACCTTCTGAATGCGTTCATCAAATATCGTTCTAGTGGCCTGCAATAAAACTTCTACCTAGCTCCTTTATGCGCTATTGCCCTAACAATCGACCCAGAAATGCTGTTCTAAATTCTACACCCTCCCCCCAATTTTTTAACGCAGGTCTGTGTGTAAGTGATGGGGATTTAGTGTCAATGTGATAGGAAAAAATATACGTTTACAACTTTTGCGAATAACGAGCTATGGTGCTGTCCAAGGACCCTACTCGGTACGAACAGATACTAACGGTACTTATCAAACGAACAGCGGATCCTGTAACGTATAAGGGACAAAGCTCCTGCATGGCCTATTGCATCATCCTAACCATTGGGAAGCCCTTTCACATTTTTGAAGCAGCGGATGTTCCACTTCATGGCTAGTGTCTTCATACATGACCATATACTGATTTGTTGACTCAGCAAAATAAACCTAGACGTGACATCTGAGTTTGATCATTCGTGCTGGATTCTTTTAACCTGTTTCGGTCCAGGAGTATGAACCTTCTGGCTATACTTACAGACATGCAATTTGTAAATTTTCATGGTAAAATACACCCTTTCAGACAAAAGGTCAACGCTCTGTGACCAGCGACGAGATAAAATAAAAGGGGGAAGATAGCATGATGATATCAGCATTGCAAGGCTGGCCGAGTTTGTTGCCCCCTCTCATACAGATAATGGCCACTTCATTGGTCTGTACAGAGAAGCATGTCGATTCTTAATGCGTACAAATCTGCTTGTTATGAAAAATGGGGGTTGTTTGGGCAATTTAAGCTGAGGTATTGTACAGCACCTGTGAAGAATGCTGGGGGTATTAACCTATATTGCCATCCATTTTCACCTTTTCCCTTAACATGGCGTGATATATCACTCTATATACGCCAAGCGGAGAATAACTACAGCGGCTGTCCATGCTGGACAAAGGAACACGGCTTGTTAGGGGAAGTGGGCATTTTAAGCTGCGCTAATTGTGTATTTTTGACAGTTATCCCCCTTCGTCATTAATTTGTCACAAGACGCTGACACCACCCCCTTCCCCATTGGTCAGTGGGGTCAAATATACCGTCTAACGCCAACTAGGTAATCCTCAAAGACCCCCCTGTGAACATCAAACTCCGCAAAGAGGCAAATGGACGT